CATACTTCACGAAAAATAAGCAACAGGGCAATAGATTCATCGTTACCAAAGGATGAGGAGGGGAAGTGTTGAATGTCCACCAAAATATTAAAGGGAAGAAGGTTTGAAGATCAATCTGAGGTGGTGGGTGCACAAGTCTAGATGGATAACTCTGTATAGTCACACATTACCATAACTAAGGGTGCAAAAGGAAGTCATAGTCAAGTGTCAAGTGAGATATGGAAAAGAAAAAACTCCGAAACAACTTCGAAAGACAAGAAGTTGGAAGAAGAGCGCACAGAATGATAACTTAGAAACAATCGATAACTCTAAAAGTGAAATCAAAATACTTTCAGAAAGAACAGCGCGGATCTTCGTTCATCAGAAATATTGAGCAGAACATTGGAATGAGCGACATGAAACAGAGTGAGAGAAACAACAGGGATCATTAGATAGCACATAACTAAGGCAAAATAGAAGAGCTCAGTGCCAACGTTGACAGACTCCCCTAAAACCATTTGAATTCAAAAAGGACGCGGCAGTTAGATAGAGCATGACATGTAATCAATTGGATAAAAATCAAATATTAGGAAAACGTATGAGATTCGAGGGAGCTCCGTTGATCTCAACGCCTGAAGCACATATCGCTCATCGCTTTTTCACGTAAAAAAAGAAAATGCAAATGAAAGGGCTTCTTCAACACGGAAATGAGACGAATCGGTCGTTCATTCCATTCTCTCTGCTGAAGCCGCTCGCGTTTCTCTATTGAGCCACAACTATTTGACTGATAAAGGTACGAGAAGCGCAAACGCTCCGAACAGCAACATCTTGCTTCTCTGCTTTCAAAACTGTACAGGCAGAACTTCAATCAACACTCGATCTCGCTACTGCTTTGCTTGGTTGGACAGATCGAGGACAAGAAACGAGCACTCTTCAGCGAACTGAAAATGAAATCATGCGAAGTCATAACATTTATAATCCGACTTACGATTGGAATGCGAGCTCTTCAACTCCTGACCGGCTTCAGGGTTCTTTAACAACAACATGAAACAAACATTACCGATTAATAGCTTCATATCTCTACTCTCTGGTTACCTGGGTTGTCTTGACGACTGCAAACGCTCTTCAGATTGTAGAGTTGCAATGAAACGGATGAATTGCCTGTTACTGGAGTCTACTCTTGGGACGATGGAAGTGATTCTGACAGCTCTCTTTCCCTCCATGAGATATATAGCAACACTGCAATGGAGCTCCTCGAAACAAATGACAACCCTGACAACCTGCCTGTGTGCACAAGCCACTGAAAATAACACTATAATGATCTAACCTTTAGCAATGCACAGGAGCCAGCGTACTCCCTCCATCCAGTAAATGGATTCTTTAGAATCTGAACATCGAAGAACCACCTCGGCTTCTAGAGCTTATGCTTCATGATGTTCTTTAATACAAAAAGACAAGTAACAACGGTTTTGACCATCTCATTACAGAGGAAACACAGCTTTGTGCAACTACAGTAACCTACGTAAGATCACGTATATCATTTATGATTAGGGCGCACAGTAAAGCGTCTTCAATTAGCCTTGGCTCAAACTTATCTAACTAGGAAGGTTGCATAGATAAAGCATTCTGTGAGAGATTCTGAAATCGAACTACAACTCCAAAGAACGATCAGAGCCGAAAGAGCAAGTTAAAAAAATGATAGTCGAAAAGTCGAGATTTCTCTTTCAAGAAATATAGCTCACAGTGATTGGAAATGCAGAACTTTAAAAAATTTGAAAATCCGTTGGAATTCAAGAAAGTTCTGACATTCTGAAGTTTGCAGGAAGACACCGCGCATTTTTTTTCTGCGCGAGGAAAATGAGAATAAGCCGATTTCATTTTGCGTTTCGATGGAAACTTGAACGGTCGTGCTTTTGCTCACGTGACTTTCATTCCTCAACACGCGTTTACGTGTGGAGCGGTAGTGTATAGTTGCGCAAAACACAATGATTCCTTCTGTTTTTTCATGAAAAATGATAATTTAAACGAATTAGGGAATAAGGATTTCTTTCCAATAAATTAAATGAAACAGACTGTAATTTAAAACATCAAAATATTTGAAGATGTTCTTCTTCGATACTCTTCATAAGGAACCGGAATCAGGAGAATCGACTGAATATACGGAAGGTGTTTGAGCAGTCTTACGAAGACACATCCATTCCTTTTTCAATTTTACTGACGTGACCATACTTCGTATTGAAAGCTTTGATGAAATCACCCGAAGTGTTGTATTCCGTATTCTGCCATCTGGAAGTATTGAAATATTGAAAAAAACGAGGAAGATGTCATACTTTTCTGGTACAGAAACTCCGAGAAGCTCTGTTAACATCCAAGGTTTCAACCATCCAATGAGAGGATTCTGTCCTTCTTCATAAAAGACTTTCGAATAGTAGAAAAGAAACCCGTCCAACTTATATCTGAAGTACATAATGAAGTTGAAGTCAACAAAGTTTCCAACTTCTCTTCAACGTCTTTGACCATCTCTTCCATATTCTGCTTCGCACATGAACACTGAGGAAGTTCCAGGAAGTTGTGTCTTGACAAATACAATTCATATCATGTCAACAGGGTCACACTTACTTCTTGCCTTTAGTCAAACTGGGATTTTCTTGGAGTTTCGAGTTTATCCAAAACCTTCTTAAATCGAAAGGGCTGTCAGTGAATACCTGCAATACGAGTGAGCAGGTTAGAAGATTAGGAAAACAAACTTGTCCATCCCATGATAACAAATCCAAGCAGTATATGTTCTTGTCGTCCCATATGCCATCAATTACAGTCAAACCTTAATGAGTTAATGAAGAAATAGTTGTTTCTGATGAAAGCAGAACGCGAACCTCCTCGACAAGGCAGAGCACTCCGGAACTGAGTAAGTAGTCTTCCTTTCTTGTTATATAAGTAAGTAACATTCTGAGAGAGGAATTGATAACACTAGGGGAGTGACAGACATACTTTGACACAGATGATAAGAACTCTTTTTCCATTTGGTACTGGAATCATGAGCCATTCTGTGGATAAGGAGTCAGGAATATCTACCAGCCATTCACTCAACATCAATCGATAAGCATATCTGAAAACCGTACAGAAGTGAATTGATCAGATAGACAACACTCGAATTACCTTTTATCACCATATCTGTTGGTTTCTGTTTGATCCTCTTGTTCTTCATCGCTGAGTTCTTCATTTGGATCCAAGTTTCGGAGAAAACACAGATGGTCATGACGAGACTGCTTCTGTCTTTCAATTCTCTGAATAATCGGGAAGATCTATCTATCACGCCGGAATGACAAACCTCCTGCCTTCTGGATGCTTGCTGTTCGGCTGCTTTTCCAGCATTCTTGAACTTAGAAAACTTAGGATGGTCACCCAGGCTGCTGGGGTCAACCTTCGATTCGGACATCATATCGATAAGCTCCTCCATCTATATAACAGGGGATGTCAAGTACTGATCAATATATTCATAAGATATTCATTGGAGTATGAGCTACCGGAGTGTCATGGAAGCAGAAGAAGAATTTGATTCATTTCGTTAAACATTGACAACAATAACAATTATAACAGCAGAATTGAGGTAACAACACAACAACCAACAACAAAACAAAATTATTTTTTCAAAATTCTAACATCTTTGACTAAACCTCTACCGATGACCTTGATGGTCTCAACAACTTCTTCCTTATTAAGAACTAAGCAATCATTCTCCATTTTCTTGAAAGTACATTTCGAAACCTGAATCAGACATTACTAGTTGCACAATCACGGGAAGAACTTACTGCAAACTTCTGATTCTCCGGTTCAGGCTTAAACTTGATGTATACTTCTTCTCCTCCATACTTATTGAAAAACACAAGAGCAACAGGCTCCAGAACTGATTTCAATCGTAAAGCTAATGAATGGAAAGGGTCAAAATCAACGACTGGCAAGAGCTGAATGAAGGTTAGAAACTGAAGTAAAACTCGAATCACCTTCAGATTATCAGGCTTCGGTCGAGCTTGATTTCTAGTGACAGCTTTGCTTGTGAAATGTACAACAGCATCATAAGAAGATGTGTTTGGTTTGAAGAGAGTTTTCTAAACAGAATTTCAGAGAAGAAACTGTTTGACCTTCTTACCATCAAATTAAACTTATTCGCATTCAACATACTCTCATCCATTTCTTTAAAACAAATCTTGGCTAAAGCAGTGATTCTGTTGATAATCACAGGGGTTGGACCGTTGTGAGTCCATCTAGAATAAGGTTTAGATCAAGACAAAGTTCTGACACTCACTTGGTTCCATCAGTGTCATGGTTGTTCATAATGACCATTGGTGGTAGAACAGGTCTGAACTTCAAGAATTTTTGCTCCAGTTCTGCTATTTGATCTTCTGCATATGAAAACTGTGTCTCTCTCCTTAGTTAACAGAGCTCACCTTTCCATGTTTGATCGAAATCCAAAATCAACGGTGATGAAACCCATGGATATGTGGCAAGGAAATGGAGAACTTTCCGGAAAGCAGCCCAGGGGGATCTGGAAATTCACGATGTTTACGGGACAGAAACTCTAACAAACTCTGGAGTATTGAATGACATGTCTTTGATAGCTGCACAGACGATCATCTCAATGGCATAATCATCAATATAGGAAGAGAGTAGTTGATATCCCAACCAACTGAAAAGCAAGTCGTTGAATGCGACTATCTCTGAACTATGATAAAACTTACAGTTTGGTTAGTTGTACAGCATCCGAGAACACAGCGAATCGTCGAGAGAACGAGTATATAGAAGCGGAAAGACCCGGCCCACTCATATATCTGAAAATTGACAGAATGACGAACTCCATTGCATTACCAAAATCTGACTTTATTTCTAAATTTTTGAGAGCTAGGGCTACATCTGAAGTTTCTACACGTGGAGCCAGGGTTGCGACTAGAGCTTTCTTCTGTCTTCCAAATATAAGTTGCAACCTATCACTGACAATAATGATCTTGAAAACAATATCATCCTGGAATGCATAACAAAAGTATTTGAAACAGTAAATGCCATCCGAACCTGAACAACAAGAAGTTCCTCGCTTGTGGCAACAGCGACATAGTTGAGCTCTCTTAAAGATTCAGCTATCTTCAAATAGAAAGCAGTTGTCAAGTTGTTGACCATCTCTACTTCGTCTCCCCATTTCGATGAGTAAACCATTTTTACGTGAACTGAAACATATAGATAATTGGCATAATACGTACGTGAACTAACTACGCTGTAACAGTTCATTTCTAAACTATTCAGCGCGGAGCACGGTTGGTTTGGACAAATCGACTGACCTTCTAAGGAGGGAACAAACTTAGGAATGACCACATGGTCTGGAACGCGTGAGTTAGCACCTTTTCTTCCATATTGAGTAGAAATCATATCATTCCCCAATGGCTAAAACTTTCAGACTGATTGGAATTAAAAATGACTCTCAACCTCTGCATATCGTAAGTAAGGATTTACTCCACCAATGTTTGTGATCTCAAGTGGCAATTCCTTTAAACTTCTCAGTAATCTACTCAACGAGGCATAAGCAACTCCTGTAAGAATGCTTTGAACACTGCACAGACCACCTATTTACCTAGTTTATCATAAGCTACTTTGTCAGATCTCAACATCTCAGGAACTTCTGACAACCAATTCAAGTTCTTGACGTGTATCTTGAATTTCCTGAAAGCTCACCGTCATAAGAAGTTAGAGCTCACAACTTACTCTTGTGATAGGAACTTCATAATTTCGAAACCTATTTCGTGAGAACTCTTTTCAGCCCAAACCACGCATTCACATATTCTAGTGTCAGCGAACTTTCTCAATTCACTTTTCTTTCCCCAGAAGCTTCGGAACTCTGTATGATGATTCTTGGAGACAAAGTGGTAAGTTCAACTCACCTTTGGCGGAAGGGTCGTTAGCAACTGGCCCAACAGTTAGTGGATTATTCCATTCCTTCCTTATCTTGAAACCTATCACCAAGAACATGTCTACGGGCATTCCACTTTTATTCTCATTCAATCGCCACTATAATATTGTTTTTTTTCAGAAGGTGAGAGGGCAAACTAGATTACCGAATCGTTTTTGTAATCTACATAGCATCTGAAGTGCTCATATCGTTCTCCCATTGCTGTTCGCACCACCTTAAACAGATCGAGATATGAAGCTCGCAGAAAAAAAACTGACCTTTTGTATCGTCCGAGTGAAAGCCAGCAAGCGATCTTTCCAATCGACAACATCTTCTACATACTCTTTGATGACGTTTTCGAAGAGGGTAGATGATAAATACAATCTGCAATGACGTTTAGTATTCTATGAGAAGAAGCAACAGACCTGAAATATTCATCGTAAGAAGAACGGAAGTCCTCTTCGATCTTGAAAAGTTTTTCAAAGCTCTGATAGTTTCCGATATGCGGTATGGAAGCAACAATGAGATTTTTGACCTCAAAAAGAAAGCAGTAATTAAACAGTTCCTTTGCAAATTACCTTATTAAGATCATCAAAAGTTATATCTGATGCTATGTTCCAAGTCCCTGTTCGATCTAGTAGTACGATGTCGAAAACTTTGAGGAACTCCGAATGGTCAGAACCGGTGTTCTTCTCAGTTTCTAAAGAAACAACTTCGCTTGTACACCATTCTTCTGAAGCAGTCAGGATTAGGTGAGACTCATCTGCACTTAAGCTGTTCTACCTAGTGCGAACAGAAAATTCTTCATGGTAACCCAAGATTGATGAAGCGCTCTGATTTTAGACTTCTCCAAAAGATGTAACATGAATGATGAAATAAACATGTCATCAAACTGGAAAAAATCAAGATGAATCGCAAGAAAACAAGCTCACTTACAACTAGTAGATCGCGACTCTTGAACCAAGCTTTCAAAAGATTTAGTGCTTCTCTCAAATTAGGCTGATCCCAAATTGAAGATTGGATCTCTTCCATCAAGGACAGTTCAAGCATAGTTCTTAGAACTCGTTGGTTATATCGCGGAGTCGCCAGTAATTCTGAAAGCAAATTGTGAACAACTCTGTCATATTTTACAGTTTAACCTTTTGATTTGTAATCTGGACTGATGATTGTAGGCCTAAAGTTTCCTTGTGATAGTGCGAATCGACTTGGTTTAGCTAGGTTCACTCCTGAGAAGATTAAATGAACAGAAACATCTCCCTCTGAAACAACAATGTCGACTTTGAAGAAGTTGAGTTCTCCAAACCAGTTATAAGAAGGTTAGGGAACAGCAAATCTTCGTGAGCACCGGAAACAAAGGATATCGCTCCATCCTCGAAAGTCTTGGACAAGATCGTAATACAACTGCACATATAATGGGCTCTTTTGAGCGGGTATTGGAGGTTAAGGAATCCTCTTTCACCATAAACACTCTGAGAAGTACACTATGAGCTAGTCAGGTTGGGTGTTCTCACCTCAGGTATCTCAAGATAAACTCTTTTAATAACTTTTCCGTCTATAACTTCTGTCTTGAGACTAGTGAATTTCTGAAAGATCATATAAACATTGGAGAAACGTTGGAAGGACAACTTGACAAGGAGCCCAAGCATAGGATGCTTTGCCGAATTCACTGTTCTTAATTATTTGCTGAAGGTATGTCAGTGGAAAAACTATTTTAGATTTACTCCAGAAAGAAGTATCACCGAGCTGAAAAGGGAGACACAGACCATGACGAGAGAATCATCGACTTACTGGGACAGTGTGCTTGATTTTAGCCTTGCGAATGGCAGATGATATTTTAGTAGCAAGAGCTTCACATTTCTCTTCTACGAACTGATGGGGTGTGCGCTCTACTTGGAATTCATTCAACTGAAAACGTATCCTAATAGCTTCCTGCTGTCAAACCCTTACCTGAAGACAAAATGTACTCGATACGGTTTGCGCTAAACACTCTTCCTGATCCATCTAAAACACTTGGTAAGTCCTGTATGACCATGAGAGGTAAGGTAGTTATCGAATGAACGAGAAAAAGAAAAAAAAGTTTTTCATCAGTTTTGGTGTTGCATAAACATAAGTAATCTGGTTTAGAAACGTACTCTGCATAAATTACATTTTCTCAGAAAGGTGAACCTATCCACATAAGTCTATGATTACTAACAGGGAAGTATGTAGTAACGGGGATAACATCCGAAAGCCAAAATATATAATAAAACAGCAAAAATTAAAGTAAACACCTCTGAAAGGTTATTAACCCATACGCACTCATATTATCACAAATGGAGGGAATCAACAAAACGTTCTCACACAAGATTCAAGGCACTAAAAGATCAAAGCAATATCTTACTAATTAACACACACGAAGACGTGCTGAGAAAAAGAATGTTGAGGAAGTAGTTCTGGAGAATGTACACACTATGAATGTAACGAAGAAAGAAAAATTAGCATCCTTGCCCATCATTGTACTCGTTTGATAATAAGCCCGTCGTGTCTGAGTTTTGACGTGAATGAATAGGTGATCTGTATCAGATGATTATAGACTATGTCTAACTTCTATCACTAACCTTCTAAAGTATTTGCTTGAAGCAGCTGTTGATAAGGAAGAATTACATAACAATGCCAAAAGTACTAAACAGGCTCCCAGTAAAAATGGAGGGCCAGGAATCAACTGCCAATCGAAAGCAGGTTTATCAATCTGACATCAGATACTTCATCAAGCTTTAAGATGTTCTCAACAAACCACTGAAGTTTCGTTCCTTCGCGGTGATAGGATCTTTTCAGTCAATGGTATAGGACGAATTCTGACCGGAGGGAACTGAGCTACTCCTAGATGGCCTTCTTCGTCGTCCAGGTTAACATCAAAGAGATAGAACACAAATCCGAACAGAGCAGGGCCAAATCCTGAACAATAAAGACTTGAAACAAACAAGTGAAGTTACCCAACCTTGACACAGTCCTCGAATACCGGTAATAACTCCTTGAACAGTACCCTGCTTGTCCTTATCAGACAAAATACTGACAAAAGCACTGATTGATGGATAAGTGATGCTGCTCATAGCAGCGAGGATTCCAGCTGTCCACATCATCCAGTATCTTTAACATCATAACGTTTCATTACCATAGATACTGAAACTCTACTTCGTGCTCAGCCCGTACCAAGTTAGTTGAACAAGTTGGAAAATTAACCCTAGAGTGATAGTATGCTTGGTTCCGAAATAGTTTGTAAGAAGCAACAACATGCCTTCAACATAATTATTTTTCATCGAAACCCAACTTTTTATTACCAGTTTGAGCGAACACTGAAAGAACGCCGACCAAGCCAATAAAAGCAGCAACAGCTTCCGGAGAGAAGCCGACCATCTGTATGTCAGATTAAACATTATAAGTCAATTTTTGATCACTGACCAGCTTGAGATATACGAAGAAGCATGAAAACTGCCCAGCTTCAGGTAGATACGACAAGAACACAATCAATGCCAGTTGTAGGACCTTTACAAACCCGATTATACATTAGAAATTCAAGCACACTAACCAATTTGTCTTCCCATACTATCCGTAATGAGGCGAATGGATCTGCAGTTTGCCAATTGAATACTTCTACGCTCTTCTTAGCCGGCAAAGATTCCGGAACGAAAAGAACTAAGAAAAGAACATCTAACAAAGATACGATAGTTGCCTGAAAAAACGAAACTCAACGTCGAAATTAGAATATGACTAATTAGAATAAACGTGAAGCCCGCCGAACTGGCACTGATAGCGTTCATTTCTATTTCGAACACACGTTTAGAGCGGTTGCAAAAGTCCACTTCGTAATCAAGTGTTGAGAAACGAAAAACTCACTAAGAACACAACGGTCCCATCTCCATAAGTCTCTGATACGTAAGCCCCAAGAGCTGGGGAAGTAACCAGAGAAGCGGCAAAAGTTGCAGAAACAACTCCATATGCTGCTGACCGATCCTATACAAGAAAACTTTGTTGAAACTAGCATTCTTAATAAGCAAAACCTGTTTCTCAGTAATATCCGCAACGTAGGCTAGAACTACACTGAATGTAACCGAGAACAGTCCACTGATACTAAACAGAGAAAAGTACCACCTGCAAGAGAAAGATAAAATGAGAGAGAAGTTCAAACTTAAAGCGCACCATGGACTAATTTTGAGACACGGTATTGGCATACAAGTAAATAACACTGTCACAATCAAGAAAACTTTCCGTCCCCATACATCAGACAATGCTCCAACGAGTGGGGCACTCAAGAATGACAAAATACCCTTAACACAATAAGCTCATGAACGTACGTACAGTTGCGCACAATACCTTTATTCCTAAAACTAGGCCATTCATAAGAAATTTATTAGTTGGGAATGTTTCCGCCAAAACCTATACGAACGAAATCATAACAAAGCATGAAAGATAACAAACACTTACATTTATAATTGGAACTGTGAGTAATCCCCAAGCGAAATATTCTAGGAAAATCACGACCAGCGCATGAAAAACAAGGGCTTCCTTAACAGGCAAACGTATGTGGTAATGTGATGAGAGAGGGAACTTACGCTCTTCTTTCCTGCTCTGCTATCCTTTTCTTTCTGTTTCCCGAATATTAAAGACATTAAAGATCTACTTTTCCGTAACATTTTTGTCTGAAAGTGTTGAGTTGGCACGATAGATCATGCAATTCACTTACTTCTAAACGATTAATCAAGACTCGAGTATTGGGCGAAAGACCGTCGGCGGGATTCACTAAAACCTTAAAAGAGCGGAATCAGAATAGTTAGGAAGAGCAAAATTATACTTTCGGAACTCTTGAATCGATTGATGCAGCTGAAGGGGTGACAGATCTCATCGCAAAGCAACCGTCATCCCGCGCTATCTTGGATTGTTCTGTCGAAAAATGTTCCGACCGATATAGCCAGGCAGAGATCGATCTGAATAGAATGAGAGAACATATTAGTTAGGAAGATAAACAGTTCCGTATAGAAAACACGTAAAATTTGATGCTTTTCAAGGGCTGAACAGGAAGGAAATACTGCTCTCATGCTACTGCTACTCCTCACTATTTGCAAGAAGATGACTCCTCACCAAAAACAAGTAATCTCTCTTTTTTTTAAAATAAATAGAGTTTTAGAGATAATAGGAAACACCGGGGGTCGATAAGCTTAATAAAAATATGAAATTGAAAACACAATTGAACAAAGAATTCTCATGCACCCATTCAGTTTACACCATCAGCAGTACGCAAAAATTCTGAACGGTGAATTGCGTCAATTTTTGTAGAAAAAAAAAGAATGGCGAATGTGATGTCCTTATAAGGGTTCAGCATATACGTTTCGTCTCGGGTTTCTTCGCCTTTTCTTACTTTTTTCTAATTTTTATGGACGTATGATAATTGTCCTTTGTTTGGGATTCGCCACATTCTTCTGGTTCTCTCATTTGTCGCACGCTTCTCCTAATCTTTTGCATTTGAGAGAGAATATGGCCGCTACTAACCAAGCGCTTGTTAGAAATATACAAGAACAACTTATAAGGTTAATGAAACAGCTTGAAGATCTCAATGAAGAAAGGTAAGTCTTACTTCTCTACTCCTTCCTCCATTTGTGATATTGGTTAGAGCGGAAATGACAGAAGAAGATTATGAAGAAGCACGTGAAGATTCTGTTGAGCAACTGAAAGTATTTTTGTTAGTTTCATGAGAATGAGAACAGTTAGACTGTTAAGGATTTGGAAAGGACGCTCTCAAAGATGGAGCACGGTGACATCAGCACAATCGATGAATTAACAACGACGAAAATGGTTCATTTCCCAATATTGTTGTATGACTCATGACTTCCATTTAAGGCTATTAGAGCAGCCATTGGTGAAGCTTTCAAAACTCCAGAAATTGTGGCGCTGTTTGCTAGAAAGCAACCTGCAGCTTTAAGACAGAAACTTATAATGGTAAATGTTTATTAAGAACATAATCTCGAGTTAACATATACATATAGGCTGAAACGGAGCATAAACTCGGCTCACTATCTACTGAAGGATTCTTATCTAGAAAAGCCGAAGTACTGATGGCGTTACAGAAACTAAGAGAACCATTAAGTGATGAAGAAGAGAACTTTCTAAAGAACTTAGAGTCGAAACCTACATATAATCTAACAGAAGCATCTTCGAAACGTACTGTAGATGACAATATAATAGAGAAAGTCATATAAAACTGATTGAGTTTGGAACAGAGGTGTTAGTAACAATCAATGCATTCACTTTCAATTCATTTCTGAAGTTATTTTACAAAATCTGGGATTGTCTCGAAACAAATTTCTGGTAAAACTACCCAGTATTGCTCACATTTTTGGAAAATATCTGAAAAGAGAGTTTTCATATTGGAATTAGACAGGAGATCTTACTTTTTAAAGCATTAAAGTTCTCGATGGTATTAAAGCTATTGGAACTAGACAGGCGTTGATTAGGAGGAGGATCATCTGCTGCCCTAGAAGTAAGTAATATGAGAAGAGGAAGCATGACGCAATAGGCTTACTCCAGTAGATTCATTCTGTTCAAATGGTCTGCTAGACTTCTTCCATCGTCAATCTTATCCGATTGACTCGACGAACTAGTATATCCGCTGGAAACAGTTAAACTACAGAACAGTGGTATAATCGAACTAAAGATACACTCACTCTGATCGAGGTCCAACATGGCTCATGCAGAAGGTATGGGTGTCTTCCTTGTAGTACTTGGAGATTCCCAGCATATCGAAATGATTCATGAACTCAAAAAAGAGATGACTGAAAAAGTCTCATAAGTATCAGGCATTCTGAGAGGAACTGACAGTTTTGAGAAAGCATGAGCTAAAGGACAGTTGAAGTTCGGTTCGTTCGTAAACATGACCAGTTCAGCATGAGAATTACAATAAATATCTCTGTCGTATAAGATTTCAGTCTGAAGAATTGAGAGTGAGCTTCTGAGTTGAGGCCATAAACTTACATGGAGAAAATCCAGGAATCGTGTACAGATCCTCTTATCAAGGCCATTCTCATCAGCGGATACCATGCATGCAACTTTGCACAAAGCTTGCAGAGAGTATAAATCTGGATCATCAAAGATGGCATAGATGAAAATCAAAAACAAAACTCACTACTTCTATTCACGAAGACTGGATAAGAAAGAGCTCTCAAAGTAGAGGTCTGTAAGAATCAGAATGAACACAACGTTAGCCATTGAAACTCACGATCAGCTCTATTTCCTTATCATTATATATTATTGGAGAGTTTGTATCTACGAAATCAATATATTTACTGTAAGCTTCCTGAGGAGTCATTCCCTCATCCGTTGTGAGCCTGAAGTGAGAACCTGAAAATGGATTATCACAACGATATACACTACAAGCTCACCAGCTATTTGAGCGTATTTTCCCATCTTGATCAACAGTGGTTTTGGGCAGTTATGGAAATAACTGGGAGAGAACGCTACCCTCAAACTTTCTTGAGCTTTTAAACCTGCAATATACAACTGATTCATATCAACACATGATGAGCGCTCACCGTGTTCCAAAGAAAAACGCAGAATAGCAACTTCGCTGGGAAAAGTGTATTGGATGCCATCAGCATCCAGCATGGAACAAGTTGAAGCAACGGTGACAAAGTAAAACTCCACTCCCAAACATTCGTTATTTGATCCACTTCTAATCGCTTTCTGTCTACAGCTCTGTATTAGAGGAAAAAGCCTCGAACATTCATCATCAAGAGTTCTCTCGTTCTCCGCTAATGAAGGAAACTACAAACAACTTTTAGTTACATATACCAGTTGATAATACAAACCTTAAGATCAACAATGTCTATCGGTTCAAAAAATGGTGTGCGTCTCATACCGAAGGAGGGAGAAGGTATTCTGCGGGAAGCAGGAATGGGTTGCTAAAGAACAGTTCACGATAACGTTATGCACAATCAGCTTACTGGTCGCAACTGCTGCGAAGTAGATGGGGGTTGTGGTGATACAGGTCTATGAGGATCTGGTGTCGGATTACTAACAGGAGCTTCAGTTTGTCCGTGACGAGGATTCCACTTCTTACCGCATCTTTCATAGTACATTTTCTTTTCTTCAATTGGTATACTCTATAAGAGTAAGATCATTGCCAAAAAGTCCTCAACACCTAACAGTATCTCAACCTACATGCCAGATTTCGGTCATTTTGTCATAGTGAGGTTGAGTTTGATCATAGTATACCCCATGCTTCTGGAGAAATATTGTTTTACCCCTATCCTGCAGCCAACAATAGTAAGGGCTCTTTGGCTTTTGCTTGTGTAGCGAACTGAAACACGAAATGAATGCTGAAATCAACAAAAAAACTATCACCTTAAACGCATAGGGTTAAATTTCTTGCCCTTAGGCATTATAAACTCTCTCCAACATTATATAATTGAAAAATGATCGAAGCAAATAAGGCGACTTTCCCAAGTGACTGGAGAAGCGTCTGCTGTTTTTTTTTTTCATATGACTAAGCAAGTGGAATTGGCAATAGAGCACACTTTCCAAGTGTTACTTCATGTGGCTGGAAACAATACCCATCCATCAATCATATTGTTTATAACAACATTGGATAAACATCAGAAACATCAGAATTCGCCATTTTTTAAGAACAAATTTTTAAAAGAAGGTTTCATTGATTGGCAGAGGATATCATTCCTTTGATCCAGTCGAACAGGACGACGTGATCGATGGTGAGATTGGCTAGTTGTCTGCGCAGGTTGCAACCATCTCTCTCCAGCCTGTCATGGCTTGGCTGAACATATTTTCTTAAATGAATAAGAGCAAAATATCTACTTAAATCTATTTATACTATATAAAATCATATGTGATCAAGCGATCTGTCTATGCCGTTTCTGTCATTTTCATTTTCATGCCATTTTGTCCTCAACCCGGCTGTTCATTGTCATCCGGTTTTCTTTACCTGTCACAATTGGATATTGAATTTTTGGCCGGCTAATCCAATTCGCTCTTTTCATCACAATCTTTCTTTTTCTCTTCATTCCCAAAATTCTTCCAAATTCCAAAAGATTTTGTTATTGCCTGCGGCGTCACGTGTCGTCATTTTCCTTGTTTGGTTGTCGGTCAAGAATATAACCGCAGTTGACATTGACTTCTTGCCATATTCTGCTGAAATTATTCTTGATACAGTCAGTATTCGAGTCGAGAGAGGCAATTATGCTCTTAAGAAGTAGAAAGCGTCTTTTGAGAACTGGACTCCACGGTCAACGACATCAACGACCACCAAATTCTCGGCTTTACCCCCTCTTATTCGCACCTCCTGTCGAACCATGCGTACGTACTTCCCATCTTATACTTTCTACACACTTTTCTTACAATAGTATTCGATGCTCAGAGTAAGTGTGACAGTCGCTGTAACGTCAATTCAGTGGGCATGACGAACACACTCAAGTGCCAGAATTTTCTTGAATTGGATGGAACCATCATCTCCGTCTGATTGTTTGAACTTGAAACAGGGCAACTCGTTGATACTTTCATGCTCTGAAAGGTTTTTTCTTTAAAACTGTAAGAACCAGTGAAAATTCTGCCTGACGAGAGCTACCCATCATGCTGTGTAACGTGGCATAGTTACACACATATCCAAATATGGACGTCCCAAGTTTTCTATCGACGCAAGTTGTTTCACTTCAATATTTCTCTTATAACACATTGTCTACCTTGTTGTTGTTCTTCTTAAAGAAAACAAAAACATTCTGTCTCTCTTTTCAGATGAGATGGGTTCTAGCCATATTAGCTGTGGTGGGCTTGGTGAAGAGTCAGCTAGATTGTGACATTTTGGATCCCGAATGCCGCGCACGTTATAGGTTCGTTGAACATTCGCAATTTTGTCGGACGGCAGATGCTTGAAGAAATGGTGGCCATCGATCTGATATCAAACGAAAAATCAATTCGCGCTGCAATTACCAAGACATTTGGCTGATACCAGGAAGAGCCGATGGCAGTTGTAGTGAGTTTTAGTGTTGTTGAATGAGACCTTGAACTTGAATCTAAAATTGATATTTCTCAACGAAATTGGAGAAAAAGACCTGTTCCAATGTCTTGAGCCTGATGTTAGAGAAGCTTTCAAAAGATAAAGATAGATAAGGATGAATGAGAGCTTTTGAGAATTGGCAGAACAGTCAGTTGAACCACTTCTGATTCATCTTCAAGACAGCTTTTCTTTCATGTTTTTTTCTTCATATGCTTAAACATGTGGACGTTATGTAACTGATAATCTATCTTACTTCTTCCTTTCACAACACAATTTCTAAACTTCAGCAAGACCGGGTGCTAAGCGGGTACTGGAAATCAACCCGGGACAAGTACACATCAAACCGGACGTTGTCCGTTTTCCTGGCTGTTTCACCCTCGAGATAAAAAATCTAAAGGTGAGTCGTCGGCGATCCAGTTCCTTAGTTGATGGAGACTGATTCTCATCTATTTTAGGTAAAAGATGATCAAGATGCATTAGACAATTCTTTCTTCGCTAAAGCCGAATATCAATGGTGGAATGTAAAAGATTTTTCGAATCTTAAATGCCAAAATGCCACGAATAACGGGTGTGGTGGCTATGGAAATAACTGGTATCCTTCCTATCCAATGACCCAGACAATTCTGACTTCCAGCTATTACTGCGATGTGTGTGAATCACTAACAGAAATCGACAATTCGCGTGAAAATCAAGACTCCCTCGCTAGTCAACTAAAAGGGATCAATTGCCCTCAAAGGCCTGGCTATTACACTTTTAGAAAAGTAAGGCTGAAGCTCTTACAAAGAGATACTAACATGTGAACCTTCAGGAATTTTGCTTCAATGATTGGTCAGCTTTCGATGCAGATGGGGATTGTGAAATGGATTTCCTACAAGGAGACCGTGGAGATTACAAGGGAGCGCTCTCAAGCTTGCAACAAGTAGGATATGTGAGTGAACTATTGGATCGAATGAAAATAATTAGATTTATTTAGGGATCAGTAATCGCAAAAATAAGATTAGCATTTAATGCCACAGGAGGGGTTGCCCGTAAAAGACAGTTGAAAGAGTTACAAATAGAGGAATCAGTAGCCAAGTGAGTATTATATACAATGTGAGTTGTTTAAAAGTCATTCCAGAGAGTTAGAGGAGCGTAGGCGTACATGGGATGTTAATAATGGACAATTTGATAAGTTCAGTCAGTGGTATACCGAATATCGCAAGAACATTTGGCACAGGCAAGTGAAAACAGGCGAACAAGGAAATACAGAAGCTTTCAGAGATGATTACCTTCCCTGGCTCCTCTATGAGAACGAGGTTTCATGCTTGAAGCTGACGTTCGATGTTTGTGAAAAGCCGCCAAGACGAATAAACTTTGGAGGAAGAACCAGATATACTTGTGAAAATTAGCTTCGTCCAAACCAATTTACAACAAGGAGTTTGATCTCACCTACTGTTAGGCACATCCAGAGCACCCTTAATTCTCAAACTTGAAATTATTTTTATTTTAAAGCTTACATGTCTCATAACCAAGTTTGCCTGTTCTTTTGCCGATTGCTTTCTTTGTAAATTTTTGTCCCGTTGTTCACGCTGAGAATTTTTTTCCTTAAAATTGAACTACATGTAAATTGACTGAGAATAAGATAATCTTACATTCATCATCTTTATTTGAGCTTCTTTCCCACGTAGATCAGCTACCACAGCATCAATCCTCGTAAGAGGGCGGCGTCTTAGCTGAAAGAGCAAGACATATGGCAAAGAGTGATTAAGGACTAACTCTTGACGAGATTGATCTATCATCGCCGTTGGACTTCGTTTTGGATATTGTTGTAGATTTACTAGAAACGCTAGATAAGGATGCTCTACGACCTGATGATCTTCGTATGCTCTCTACTAGATTCTCCATTTTGTTACTGATAGCTTTTTCTAAGCCAGTCCTCAAAAACAGCAATGAACACAGGTTCAACCATATGAAAACGACTAACCTAACTCGATTTTCAAGAGCATGTTTCTTCTTCTGCATCTCTGTCGTTTGTTTTCTTACGAAAGCGTCTGATTGAACACGAACCTCAAGGATATGATTCTTTCTGACTAATAACAAACAAGTTACCTGGTGTTGTCTGACAATCTTCCGCCGTTCTCTCTCATCATGAATAAGACGTTTCTTCTCCTCCTCCGAAAGATGAATACGCATTGGTGAGTACAATAACTATGTTGTAATCGATTAGAGTATAATATAGATCAATTAGATTGAAAAGCCACCTAGTATCTCCCACGTAACACTTATGCTAATGTAATTTCAAACTGGCAGCGTTTCAATCTTCGTGGTGGGACCCAGTGCGTGTCCGCCCTTTAATTTCAGTGAGACATACTCATAGTATGAGGGGTATATGGTATAATTAAGGTACTTCATTCAATTATTTACATATTTGGATGATCATGTCTTACGTGTGTATGAACATCATACAGAAAGAACCTAATTAAAGCTAGTCAGCGTAGACTGAAGTCGTTAGTCTTCAGAATTAAATCTCAGTGTATGAATGTATCTCTCTTGTTCTGTTGTTAACCGTGGATATAGATAGATGCATACAATGAACACCAAGCAGCATGCTGAGTTAGTTTCAACAGCAAAGAGCAAAACGACAGAAACATGTTAAATCGTTTCTCATGAAACTCATAAGACTTCTTTTCACCCTTAATCAGATCGTATCGGCGAGAAACGCGACTTTAGGTTCTCTAAAGCTATGAAGATCCAGTTCTAATCAAATTTAGATTGAGAAAAAAGAAAACTTATCTTAGAAACTAAAAGAGTTTTCATCCATGGTGGACAGAATCGTTCCTGATGTCAGCCGATTTCATTTTTTTTCATTTCAGCCGCTTGAGCGGTTGGTTTAATTGGTAGTAACAAGAGACATGTCAAAAGTAAATTTATTTTTACATTTTGAAGAAATGAGAAATAAATAGAGAGGTCATTAATAAAGGCTTTATTATACGTGGATTTGAGTGATTCACCCGTTTCGGGCGTTTTCATGGCCTCTAGTCTAATAACCGGGTGGAGTACGTGGGATTGGGCAGTGTTCGCAAGATCCTGGTTCTCCGGTTGGTCCACGTGGTCCTTCTGGGCCTTGTGGTCCTGGAGCTCCTTGTGGTCCTGGTCTTCCAGCATCTCCTTGAGGTCCGGCTGGTCCCTCTTGGCTTCCTCCGTCAAGTCCAGCTTCTCCGCGTGGTCCTGGAGATCCACGTGGTCCTGGTCTTCCAGCTGGTCCAGCTGGTCCGTTAACCTTGAATTAGTATTTTAGATTGAAAAGCGTGTCTGCTAATCATACTTGGATGACTCTTCCTGGAGCTCCTCGTGGACCGCTGACTCCCTGTCTTCCTGGCATACCCATTGTTCCTGGTGGTCCTTGCATACCATTCTCTCCTGGCTTTCCGTCTCTTCCTCCTTCTCCGGCAGCTCCCTTTGGTCCCTAATATTCATTGTTGATATGAGACAATTTGATGAGAATTAGTTTTACCTGTGGTCCCTTGGCTCCTCCCATACCCTGAGGTCCTGGTGGTCCAGGTGGGCAAATGATGCATGGCTCGTTCTGGATAGCAGATTCGAGCAGGCTTCCATCCTTTAACATATATATAAATTATCTTCAATGATTTGAGCTGTTTACTCTTCCGCTGCTTCCATCATTTCCTGGAAGACCATCAAGTCCATCATCTCCGTTGTCTCCTGGAGGTCCTGGAGGTCCAGCAGGTCCTTGTTGACAACCGCAGCAAGTTGGAGCAGCATCGCTGTTAGCGACTGGAGCAACTCCGTAACCTAGAAAGAACCCGGTAAACAGCATCATTGTGCATCTGATAAAATACCTCCGGCTCCTCCTGATGATGGGTAGGCAGCTGGCTGTGGAGAGCTTCCGTACTGTCTCTTAGCACGTTGGAAGGATGGAGCATCAATATGATGAATTTCTGCCCACATATCACGAGCTCTTGTCTGGAGTGGTCAATAAGCAATCTACATCTCAGAAATAAAATACCTTGCAGAAATCAGTTTCAATGATGAGATGGGATTGGAAGTTAGCTACATAGCTATACAACATTGGAAGTGTAACGACGGCAGCAATGACAGCGAAGGTGCTGACAACAATGGCGAAGAAAGCCACACGGCGAAGCTCACGGTGCTCCGACGTCTCCATCTGAAGAAACATAGCTTTGAGATGGACAAAATTAGTTGAAAAAAAGTTTGGTGAAGGAGATAAAGTGGATGAGAGGACAAACTCAGACCAGAAGGTCCAACGACGACTAACGAGAAGGATGAAGAACAATAGAATCGAAATGAACTGCGTAACTCACGACTTTTATATACGGGGGCGGGGGAATGACCCGTCCCGACGAAAAATGGACATCAGAAAAACTGCCAAGCTAACTGGATCCGCAGGTATCCGAAGCTTTCGAAAGAGAATCAAGAAGGATCTGAAGCATCAGAACAGTTACGACTAGGATAAAACTCATCGCACCTTCATTGCTTATGGAAAAGAGGTCAAACAGCATCAAAAGTGCATCTGAGACTATCGTCCTGTCCACTCAGATTCATATCCATCCCTAAACCTATTTTTACTTCTGTTTTACCAAGCAGTTAAAAACGTTTGAAAGGGTTAAAACGGTTATTGCATGCAAATGATTTGATAAGTTGTGGTGTTAACACTAATCTCCAGTTGATTCACATACATGCAAATGCTATGAAAATCGAGAGTTTGTATCTTTTCTCTCATTTTTTCTTCTTTCTTTACTCTTATCCCTTTTCTATTTTATGTTGTGGATCGGAATGGAATAGTCTTTGTTTCCGAAAACGATAACTAATTGATGAAGAAACAATTGTAACACAAGTGCGAAGACCATACATGTCTTCAAAGAGAGAGAGTGAGAGAGAGAGGGAGAGAGAGACTGGAAACGAGATATGTTCGAGTAGATGACACGAGTATCATTAAAAAAAAGAGAAAGAAATTCCGTTAATCCATTCATTTGTTCCCTATCACATCATCTTCATCCCTACCTAGCCTTCTTCTACCCATTTACAATCTCGCTCAAGCATTGTCTCGACAGACGAATGAATGAACGGAGATGTGTTCTCCATCAACAGCATGCATGCAAGGTGAAGAAGAAGATGATGATTGAAGGATTGAAAGAAAGTCTGAAGGATGAGATGAAAACGATGGTTTTCTGTTTTCTTTCAACTCTTTTCAGACTTTCCGACGATCAGTTCCATGTTCATCTGTTCTTTCACTTTCTTCAACAAGTTGAAAACAATGAAAAGATTAATAGGTGTTATCCATTAAACAAACAAAATGATTATTCGTCTACACATGAAAACAAATTATGATCAACCGCTCTTCGCTACTTACAATTTTAAAATGAACGTACTATGCTGATATATGTTACGTGAAACATTTCACGTACACATTTTAGAATAAGCCTCTAAATAGCATATACAGGGTAACTAGAGATGCTTAACATACATATATGCTCTTTAAAGATTATAATCTGTCTTATCAGACTTATGCACAACATTACTCAATTGCATTATGGAAGAGATGTTCATTGGATTAACGAAAATCGTCAGTTCGTGCAATTGACCTTCCATCAACAACACACTCTCCCGCCAACTTTCTGTTTTATTTTTTTCTGTACTTTACTCGTAAACTTTAATCGATGAAAACTTAAAATAACTTAATCTCCTCCCTCTTTCCACCAAAAAAACCTTCAAATCAGAAATCATCCGGAGGTATGATGATCGTCTTGTTCAAACACAAAACAAGTCTGCTTCTTTGATCAACTACTTTGTTCATTTGCATATATGACGTGACTGATTCAATTTCTGTTCACTCTATCGATAGTCTATCACATTGATGAAGCCTTATTCAAATTTGTTTTTCCTAAATACAACATAGCATCAACGACAAAGGTGTGCGAAACAGCATTGAAAAGTAACACCTTCAGCTTACATGTCTTCTTTGACTCTGTCACTTGTATGGTAAGGAAGCTCTGAAATGATTTTTCTCAGTCGGACAGTTCTGATGATCGACGGAATAAATATTTTGCATTGTGGCATCAACAAATCCGATTATCAAATGAAATTTAACAGAATTATTCTGGCACGACCACTATCTTTGACAAGAAAAACTGTTTTTGTATTTTTTGTTGTAGAGGGAGGGAGAGAAAGAGAGAGGGAGAAGAGGGAGCTGAAAGGCTCATAGTGAGAGAGAGGAAGAGAAAGAGACAGAAGAGGTGGAGATTGCACAGCTTTTCCATGAAAGTACAGAAGTATTTCTGTCATTCTGTTCTTCATTCGTTTTGGCAAATGACTAAAGCGTGGAGCGTTTTCGTGAAACTCGCTCTCACCCTCTCTCTCCTCTCTCAATCACTTCTCCCTTGCAGCTATCAAAATGATATTTAAAAGTTATGTTATTATTGATTTTCATATAATTTTTATTTAAAAAAAAAAGATTTAACGGCAAATAGCATTTACAAACATATTTACTTTGGAGAAGAGCTATGCTGAGACATAGACAGAGAGATAGAGAGAGAGAGAGAGGATGGTGTTCACGTTCAGTTCATTTCTTTAAACTTGTTTAGATGATGATGTGAACTGAAGCAGAGGCAAAGAGAAAATCATTTTTTGCTCGATCACTGATATTACTTACTTAAGTGTTAATGTTTATTGAAATGGCTGATAATCTCCGCAAATATTTTTAAAGTTAAATCATCATTGGAACTGTCTCAATATGTTGTTGAATGTATTTGTCAAAGTGCTTGGCTATGATATACTAAAGCAACCTTTATAAATGATTATGATTATTTACAAGAGAAAGGGAGGGAGGTACCGAGAGAGAGAGAGAGAAAGAGAGAGAGAAGTAAGCATGCATATAAGAAACGAAACGAATCATTTATTTTGAAAGAAAGAAGGAACAATTAGTGTTTGTATTCGTAACATCAAAAGCAATGACACCCTCTCCCCCTTCCTCCCCCCCCCTACAACTCATCATCATATCAGTTCATTTTCTGACAAATTTTGTTTTTTTTTCTTCTTCCGCTTTTCTTACTTTTTTCAGTTCACAAGCTACATGATTAGAATTTTTTTTTGTTTTCAAATGATTCACGTTGTGACGTCACATCACACGTCAACTAACCCTATGCTAATTTCCAATCTTTCTCATTCGTTGTCGAGTTTACGTGAAGAGCGGTTGCTTTGAGCCATCCGCTGTATCGGACAGGTATGCATGCATGCATGCATTGCATGTGTGTCGTCGTCGTCTGTCTCGCCATCTCATTGCCATAACCATATATGCTGCTGTATATTCTGAAATGATGGTTTGATTATATCATATGGTAATATGTAGAAGTGATGTCTAACCTTTCTACTCATCTTATTATCAAGATTCCAATGGAGAAGAGAACAATTTAATCATATTTGATGTATTTTTCTAGACACAAAGGTCATTTGTCTATGATTGAACATCAAACTTATTTTATTATTATATTATATAGTTAGCATCTCTTTTTTGTCGCCCCCAAAGGAAAGAATCGTGTTTTCCGAGTTGAACTACTATCAATTCATTCCATCAAATTGTTTTTGTTCTCTTAACTTTTGCCTTTTTTTACAAAAAATAATTCAAAATGTTCTTTAAGAATGATGTTGAACGTGCATTCCTTTTCTTTTTTCCTTAATCGCCCATTCATTTGATTAATTATAGATAATGACTGTTACCTATTCATTGGATGTGTCGTCTTCATCCTTCTGGTGCTTACATAAGCTGTTGTTTCGATGGAAGGTTAGTTATACTTCCATTTCTATTCAACATACACTCCTTCTTACTTCTTAGGGATCAATATGGAAATGTGTTTGGTCAGAGTTAATTGTCTGGTTATCCTTATATACAATTCTTAGTACCATGTACCGCTTAGCGTTGAATCCTGAACAGAGACTGTAATCAACCACCTCTTCTCATATCGTCAACTAACCTTACTTCAGGATATTCGAAGATGTTTGTATTTTCTTCGAAACATATTCTGGCTTCATTCCAATTACGTTTATGCTTGGTTTTTATGTGAATGCCGTCTTCACTCGCTGGGGAAAAATATTCGATAACATTGGTTGGATCGACACGTAAGAGAATGGAAAAAAAATATTTCAAAGCAAATGGAGTTTCAGGCCGGCGTTGATGATCACACAAGCAATACAAGGGTCATCCGAGCGTACCCGAATAATTCGAAGAAATTGTTTGAGGCACGAGGATGAGCAAACAGAGAAACAAAATAATCGACGTCGTTTAAGGTACATGGTTCTAACTCAAGCGATTGTCTTCCGCGATGTTTCAAAAGCTGTTCGTAAACGTTTTCCCACCATGTTCCATTTGGTAACCGCAGGTATCGAAAGCAAATCTAGTTAAGCCCTATTGACATATACTTCTAAGGATTAATGACTGAGAGTGAATTGGATCATTTCGAAAACGTAGTTAGTCCTCACAAGAAGTACTGGCAACCCATGCACTGGCTCTTCAGTAACATCAGAATAGCTAGAGATGAAGGATATGTGAAAAGCGACATTGTTTATGTTGACTTAGTATCTGTAAGTACATGAGCTTCTCTTCCGCCGATCATCAAAATCACTTTTTGTTCAGAAAATACGCGATTTTCGTTCTCAAGTATTGAATCTGACCTTGTATGACTGGGTGCCTGTTCCACTCGTATACACTCAAGTTTGTTTTGAAACTTCGCTAGAGTTTAAACGTTTTCCCTCCGTCATGTATAGGTTGTTCACTTGGCTGTTCGATCATTTTTCGCCATTGCCTTATTAGGTAGACAGTATCTGAAAACAAGTAGGAATCCAGATGAAATCGGATTGAAACAAACGGTAACATTTCTCAAAATTATATTTCGAAAAAAGTCATTCTCATCTGATCTTATCTCGATTTTACAAGTTTTTCAATGACAATCTTACTTATTTAGATTGATTTGTACGTTCCAGTCATGACTATTCTTCAATTCATCTTTTTCGTCGGTTGGATGAAGGTTCTTTCATCTATATATCGAGATGATTGTCTGTCTCTCTTTCCAGGTTGCGGAAGTTTTGCTTAACCCATTGGGAGAAGATGATGATGATTTCGAAGTAAATTACATCTTAGATCGTAATTTACAGGTACAGATAGTGAAAGCAAAACCTAACACAGACATGATATTATTAGGTTGGGTTGGCTATGGTTGATGGAGCCCACAATAAGTTCCCTACTCTTGAGAAAGATCATTTCTGGGAAGATTTAGTAGCAGAACCACTGTACACTATCGAAAGTGCAGCTCGACCTAGTAATCCACAAATAGGAAGTTGTGCTAACCTTGAGTAATATTGAAAACAACATGAAAGCTTCATGAAGTATCTATTGCAGGGGAACAGAAGATGATCATTACATGTTACGTCCGAGAAGACACACGTCATATTCATCAAAAATCAACCTAGATTATGGTTAGAGACAATACAAACAGACTTTTTAACTCGTTGAATATTTATTTTTGCAGACGAGAGCGATATTGTCCGAGTGCAAGGGTTGGACAAAATCCGTAAAAGTGGAAGGTACTCTATTAGCATGTACTGATCTTTAAAAATATTTTAAGCATCTATAATTCCGGTGAATCATTGGCCGCATCTCAATCATTCGCTGTTCCGACTAGGAAACTGAGTGAGATGTTCAAACGATTGAAAGGGGGTCGACCAAGTTAGAAAGATTATCTCTTAAGTAACTAACACATGTATTTCTCCAGGTATTTCCTTGAGCACTAAACGAGCTCTGTCACGTGGAGAAGGTGTGAGTGAAGAAGGTGCCGTCAGGTGAGATTCTATTTCCTGCAATCCAAAAAACAAATTGAAAACAACCGTTCACCGCGATTATTTCTTTCGAAATGCTAATATTGATTCACGTGTTTCTCACGTGAATCGAATTATGATTTTAAAAGTTCTAGAAGATACTTTTCTCATCGCTTGCAGATCAACGAGCTTTGATTCAATGGATCGCTTCGATGAATCATTTCATAATGGAGTTGCTCCTCCGCCTCCGCCAACTCAACATTCAGCTTTGACTCCTTTGAGTTTCAGCAATAGTTCAAACTCGTTAAGTGCAGATCAATCACAACAAGGGGAAACCAGTCCAGGGGTTTGTTTACAATTTTCTGCTTGTTCGGCAGTTTCAAAAAAAAACAATAATGCTCTAAAGAGTCCAAAGGTGGGAAGATGTAATGAAAATGACTTTTAGATCGATGGATCGAAGAACATGATCTGGACCGTCGATGAAATGCTGCCAATTATTGAAGAAGAAGAGCATGAGAAGAGACGTCACTCTGATGGAGGTCAAGACAATCTGCCGCTCTTTATCTGATTCTCAAACAAGAACTTTCAGATTCATTCCACAGTGGGCAATCTACTGGTACTTCATCAACTTCCATTCACGTAAAGACTCATAAAGATGAAGTTCAACGAAATAACGTAGAAGCTGATGTTGATAAAATCAACAACACGAATGAACTGAAAGACAAGAACCTGAAAAAAGACGGAAAAGCGAAAAAGATATTCAAAAAGCACGACACCGACCGTGAGGATGACGTGACTGTTAAAGCGGACGATTCAGCAACAAATAAATCGGATTCGGGATCAACGAAGACCCCGACAACAACATCCAAGTCACCTACCACGTCATCTGCACGAAGACACGATCTTAGAAGTAAATCGGAAGCCCATAAGAAACGACGACGCTTTACAAGTGAGTGAGGCTTCTGCAAAGCTGCTCCGCCACTAGTCGACTCTCGACTCCCAGCTGAAATCCAAACAAGGTTTTTGCTGTTTCAATTAGCATAGATGTACAAACAAATCTCTTTTCTCACCGAAGTTATACACATCCAACCCAATCATGATTCTCGCGCAGATATACCCGGCTTGGGATTATTCTAACGTAAAAGCTTACTTTAATTAAGATTTCAAAAATCACGGGTTAATCAGCTGGTAAACACTCTACCAGTTGATTCTACTCCGGTCAAATCTGCTGTTCTTAAAACGCTTACAGTATGAAACATAGTTTATGTATGATGGCCATGTTATTGTGTCCTGTTAGTCCAAATATGTATATGCAATGTATTTTATAGCTTGATCAATTCTAAAGTAATATAAATCTTTAAAACTGTTTCAACAATCACATCAATGTGTTCGTTCATCCAAACAACATTTTCATGTCCTTTTTTGTGAATACCGAACTTGCTTGATCAACGCTTTTTTTGGGCACATGAAGCCCGCGGGTCTTTTGTGGAATAAGGCTTTGAAGCAAACGTCGGACTTGAAATTCAAGAACTGCTGTTTGGCCTGATGGATATTTTACTTAAAAAAAGTAATTGGCGGACAAGCTTGTTAGCTTGTTAGATTCTTGGAATAGGAAACAATAAACGTGATTTAATCGAGATGACAGTTACATTTGATTTTTCCTGAGTTTTTACAAAACCAAGTGAACTTCCATAAAAAATGGTTGACACTAGAAAAAGTACCTCATGAATCTGCTAATTACTGATTCAGATTGACGCCTGCCGGACCTTAGAGATCCTATCCACCGTAAAAGACTATCTGTCATCTCGCTAGCGGCTTCTCTTTACAGGCTTATGATACTTCCATCTCGTTCAGCTTACTTGTCATTCTTGTATCCGACCAGTTCACATCCTACCACACCGGTTTCAAACCTCAATACTACCTTACTCAAGTTGGCCTCTTCTATTTCTTCTTTTCTTCGGGGGGATATTAATGAGGCCGCACTGCATGATAATATCCTGAAGCAATCCAATCCTCCAGTGTGCCAAACTAACATTCTCTCAATCTTTTTTTACTTTCGGCTGATAAAAACTATTTTGAATTCCGAAGTACATCTTATCACATAGTCTTAATCAAACGAATAATCCGTTCGTCTTCCATTGTTCCGTTGCAATTGCGCCTTCAGACAAAAAATCCTGGATACGAGAGACGACGAGTATTCCACTCATCTCGTCAGTGGTCCTCTTCCAGTTCATTTTTTGTGCCATTGGTATTCAGAAGGGTGGGACAGATCTGAATCTGCCGTCCATTAATCTGGACCCTTGACTATATAAAGAGATCACATCCAATTTCAGAACATTTCATGCTTGCTTAGCTTTCTCAACTAAAAGAAAAAAAAGTTGAAACTCGTGGAATAGCTATACCTGTCCGAACGTTTCTAAACAATTCTATTGTTCTTTCAATTGTTCTTAATGATATGAAGACATATAATTTCAGATGGGTTCCATTATTTGGCTGCTCGCGATCTCTCTCACTTCAGTATGGGCCACCACCGATAGAGTTAGTTGACTTCAGTATTGAACATTTACATTCTCCTGCTTTTAGTCATCATGCTTCCAATACATCGAATGTTATGAAAACGCTCAAGCAAGCTTGAAAAACTGTGCTGGAGGAACAGGAATTGCTCTTACTCTTGAAAGCAAAGATAAAACTCTGAGTGAACTCTTCAATGGACGTTCTCAAGTAATCAGTGGTTGTCAAGGTAGTACATTCGAAACATTCACGGCTTATAGAAAACACTAACTGCTAGCTAATGCAATGCTAATCAAACTGCCGAATGTTGAAACCGGTTCTTTCAGACCATCTTATGAAGGAAATAATCGACTTCGATGCTTTGCAAGTTCTCGTTACTCAGGATTCTCGAGAGTGCTTCGAGAAACTTCCCGAAACAACACAACAAGTCGACGCGGTACTATATATCATTTACATCAGAATAAACATATTCATTGTTAGAAGTCTGGAGTGTGTGAATATTCACCTACACCTTCTCGAGATCATTATGGAAAAGAACAGTATCAATGCGTCGTTGAGTATTTGGCTGACCGACAGCAATGTGAAGCTTTACTCAACTGTTGCCCAGACCACACTCGGTGAGTTAATAGATACAACCGCTCTCCACTTATTCTGCAAAGAAAATGATGATTAATGGCTCATGATCACTTCACGTATATTAATTAGCATAAACAATTATTTTCAGCTGCGCCGAGCGGGTCAACGCTGTAAGCTTAGCTTATCAACAAGGAAAAGCGAAATGTTAGATTTGAATATGTTTTCAACTCAATCATATCTCTTTTAAGCTCTCCAAATTGTATCAAACTTGCTGAGCTGTGTCGTTTCACGCGACCCAAGTGCACATGAGTTGGTCTCAAAGTTACGTCGTCAACGTAGTGCTGTGAGAAACGCTGGTTTACCTTTCCTCAAGCCTGATTTGGCCACCGGTAACTATAAAGAAAGCAACTCTCTCTTCATAATATCATTCAGAAGAAAGAATCGCCCGTCGCCAATCTTTGACTTCTACTGTTACGTTCTCTGACAGACAACAGAAGTTCGTTCAACGTTACAACGAGGTTTTTCATACTTCTACATCTACTCAAAGTCATAAGTTATTCAGATCAGAGAAGTTCTCGCTAAACGCATCATTGAAATCGCAGAGTTAGCTAAGCTACCTACAACTGCCTCGCCAATCACTGATGAACGCAGAGTCTCCATTATTAAGACGCTCTTGAAGTAAGGAAACGAAGCGAGATTTTAGTATGTACCATTCTTCAGAGATGCTGATGACCAAGAGTTGGCTATTTATGTATCTCTCATATCAGAAGGAAACTTTGAGAAGCTTTCTGAGTTGGAAAAACAAAAGCTTCTCAAAATTGAAGACGAGAAGGGAGCTGACAATGCGATCGAGAAAATTGGAATAATCAAGAGCGCCATTAAGGTAGTTCTTAACCGATACTGAACAAAAGTAGTCATCGATTGCAGAAAGCACTGTCCAAGAAAGAACAGAAGACAGTTGAATATGCCATCAAAGCTCAACTTCCTCAAGGAGTCGCAGAAGACCTTCAAGAAGAGGATATCTGGAACGATGTAAAACTCAAACATTCAATTAAATCACAGATCCAACTCATTTTCAGCGCAAAGAGAAAGAAGCAGTGAATGAAGTTTTAGGAGAAGTATTAGAAGATGTCGACAGCGACATTCTCTTCAGAGCCAAAAAATTCGCTTCCGCTGTTGGTGAAGCTATAGAGGCTCAGAAGGAACTAATCTTAACCAAGGACAACACTTTCAATGGTAACGGATTATCTCAACAACGGTTAGATCTAAATGGAAAGCTATCAACTCTTCTATTCTTCAGAACTTCATCTGCCAGCGATGTTCCAGAAGGTGGCAAAGTACATGACTTCGAAACTATCAAAGACAAAGTTGATGCTGCCGTTCCTGCCGTGAAGCAAACAACTTTGGTATTAGAGATTTCATCTCGACAAAAATAATCTGCTGCTATTTCAGGCTCTCACAAACATCCAACCTCTCACTCAAGCAAGACTCGTAAGCTCCGTTCAGAAACCTATCGACACTCTACCAGTAGAAGAAGGATCAGGAGATGGAGAAGTCGAAGGCTCTGGAACTGAAGAAGTCAAACAGAGCTCTGAAATCGAATCCACTGTGCTTATCCAAGACGAACTCATTTTGAACAGAAAGCAAGACGGAAAGGAAGAGGAAGTAATTCCAGATGATAAGGAACTCGTGAAAAGAGCTCATCATAAGAAAGACAAGAGCGGATCATCTTCTGAGTCCAACTCTTCTGAGTCAGAGGAGCATCATAAGAAGCATAAGAAAACAAGACACCATAAGAAGCATGGTCACAAAAAAGGAGATAAGCATCATAGCAGCGAAGGATCTGAAGAAGGAAAAACAACTTCTGCTCCAACTACGAGTACAGCAGCTACAACGACAACCGCTTCCGTCACCACCACACCCGGAGTAACTTCTACAACTAATCCAGAAACTAGCACAGCTGAAGCATCCAAAACAAGTGAAGGCACCTCTCCTTCTTCTACTTCTTCAACTGAAAGTTCTACAACATCAAAACCTGAGACTACAACTGTAGAAGGAGAAATTCATATTCCATCCAACAACAGAGCTCCTCGTGAGGATGAGAATATTGTAGTTGAAGAAGATCATGAAAACAAGAGGAATATCGAAGAAATAATCCAAGGAGTTAACAAAGACCGTGAGGTTCGTACATGTCGCATAGATCATTTAGAAACATCGAATCACCTTTCCAGGAATTCCATGAGAAACTTGAAAACCTGAAGTCTAAATTAGCAAAGATTGATGCTGTTTCTCAAGATGAGCAGAAGGCTCAAGTAATCAATGAGGGCGAAAACAAGATATCCACTATTGCTAGCACAATCACTGGAGGAATAACTGATAAGGTGAGGGAACAACCGCTCTCTGCGCTTCACATTAGAAAAATGAACTTATAATCGAACCTCATACATCTTTCTCATTTCAGACTATTGTTGTTGATGCTTCAACTGATTCTGAATCTACGGCTCATCCACAAGTTCTCGTAAGTTGTTTATCGTCGAAGGAGGCTTATGAAACATACTTCTTCGATATAAACAATGCTATATTGATTACAATTCTTACAGCCCAACTTCTGCTCTCAATACGCTCGTTGTAGCGACATCGCTCATGAATTTGAGAATCGCTGTCATCAACGATTCTCCGAAGGAATTCAAACTCATGGTTTGTTGGCAAGTGCGGTCAGAATATCAACAATCCTTTCCAGGAATCGAAGAATTCGAGATTGTTGACATCCTTTCAAAGAACTCACTCAGTAAGCATGAAGTCGTCATCAAGACTTGCTTATACCCATTGGATAAGAACTCCTACAATAATGTATGGTCTAGTTCAAAAAGTTCGCTAATAACCACTTCTGTTTTTAGCTTCGTCAACTGATTCATGTTGAACGAGGTGTGAGGAGAGCCTGTCTTGATTTGGGACGAAATCGCGGCAGACTATCAGCTGAAGATTTGTCTCAATGTCAAGACCCTCGCACATCTACTGAAAGCGTCGAACGATTCTTGAACGACAACAAAATCCGTTCAGAAGAGAATCTGTTGACTTGTTTAGCCCAGATTGAATCCTTCCGCGACAGTTGTAATAATATCAGTCGCTGTTGCGCAAGTATCAACCCGTAAGTAATTAATCTTTGACTGGTTTCGTCATTTCCGTAGCCATTAATAGAATTTGATGTGACCACATGATTCTAATTGCAGATGCGACAAGTACATCAAGCAATCACCCATTCAAAACATGAAGAAAGAGGCTATTGGAACTCTCGTGCAAAGACAAACAGCTTGCGAAGAGCGTATGATGGAAACATTAAAATACATCCATGACAACCTTACTAGCCGTCGTAGAAGATTCTACAAAAACTAACTTATTGAGTCCAGTACACCTCCTCTAATGCTTTAAGAAATTCAAAGAACGTCCGGTATGGCTTAAGCCTGACAGATCAAACTGCCTATATACAACCCAAAGTTAAATTATTCATTAATATTGTTTATTAATATAGATTATAAAATAAATTTCACTATATTTGGACTAGATGGCAAGCAATCTTGGCACATAATAGAACTCTATTGAGATGTCAAGTATGGAAAATCACATGGAAATCGTATCAGAGGGTTAGTGTTGTGTACAGATGTACTTCCATTGGGTGAACTCGTCAATTCCTTGGGCAGCTCCTTCTCTTCCCAATCCACTTTCCTTCACGCCACCGAAAGCTGCTTCGGCACAAGAAATTAAGCCTGAATCGTTGTGATTATATGATCAGTTCTTAACATGACAGCTGTTTCTAATTCTTCTTTAAATTCACCTTCATTAACACCGATCATTCCAACTTGCAGCTGTCTCGTCACACGATAAATCTGAGAAGAGTCCTTAGAGAAGATATATCCAGCAAGGCCAGATCTAGACTTGTTAGCGTGTTTCAAAACTTCCTTCTCATCGGTGAATCTAAAATTAGAAAATGCACAAGTGAAAACAGAAACGTGATTGTACTCTCTGATGGCAGCAATTGGGCCGAAGATCTCGTTATGAGCGATTTCCATATCATCAGTGATACCTGTGATTAAGGTTGGTTGGAAACAAGATCCTTTTCCGCGTTTTCCTCCCAAAACAAGAGTAGCTCCTTTACTGACAGCATCGTCCAGAAGGCCTTGAATCTAAAAATAGATGTGAGAAAGACTCTGAGAAACACAAAAGTTACTTTCTCTACAGCCTTATCATTGATAAGAGGGCCCTGATTGACACCATTCTCGAGACCATTGCCCACTTTCAAAGTTTTCATTGCCTCAGCCAACTTATCAACATATTGTTTGATTGTCTAAGAAAGACTTCAGAAATGTTGTGATATGATAAAAAACCTTCTTGTGAACATAGATTCTATTGGCTGAAACACAAGTTTGTCCGGAAGCTCTGAACTTCGTGGCCATGGTACCCTACAACATTCTTTTGTCATTGAACGTTGAAAGTTCGATTCAACCTTGACGGCAGTTTCCAAATCAGCCGTGTCGAAAACAATCAGTGGGGCATTTCCACCCAGTTCAAGACATACTCTTTTAACAGTAGAAGCTGATTGACTCAATAAAATCTATAAAAGCTGTAAAAGAAAAGATAAAAAATTATGGGAACCTTTCCAACAGCGGTACTTCCAGTGAAGCTGATAGCATCAACATCGGTCGACTCACAGAGGAACTTTGAGATAGCTGCAGTGTTTTTCCTATCGGCTGGAATCACGTTGAACACCCCAGCTGGTAGTCCAGCTTCTTCAGCTGTCTGAAAGAGCCAAAACTGAAAACGAAAAACAGATGTAACAAACTTGAGCAAGAGCTAAAGCACTCAAAGGGGTATCCTCAGCTGGCTTCACGACTAAGGTGCATCCAGCAGCAAGAGCTGCACCAGCCTTACGAGCAATCATAGCTGTTGGGAAATTCCACTAAAAACAAACTTAGACATATAGGGTCGTTAATACTTACTGGAGTGATCAAGACGACAACACCAATTGGCTCACGGATGTGAAGGTGCTCGCGATTGAGGACAGGAGGGCTGACAACCTAAGCCAAGCTTTATTAAATAAATAAACAAAGAAATACTTACTTGGCCATAGATTCGCCGAGCTTCACCAGCATACCAATCTAAGAAACCAGCAGAGTACTGGATTTCTCCCTTAGCTTCTGCGATAGGTTTTCCCTAGAGAGTAAGTCAGAATGAAAGAAAACGAGAACCGACATACCTGCTCAGAAGTGAGTAACTGAGCAAGTTCTTCCTCACGTTGGTTCAATATGTTGTACCATTTCTGCAGAATAATTCCTGAAAGAAGGATTGGAGATGAATAATGATTGTCACATTTGAACCTCTTTGTTTGGGAGTAGTTTCAAGTGACCATTTCTCGAATGCAGTACGGGCGACAGATACAGCCTAAAATCAATAAATGAAAAGAAAACTTCATAAGAACTTACATCTTGGGCATCAGCAACATCACAGTTAGCTGTTTTAGCAATCAAATCTCCATTGAATGGATTATAAACATCGAAGGTTTTGTTAGAACGAGCATTTACAAACTTTCCTGTTGCAAGTAATATCAAAGTTAAACAAATTTGACTAAAAAACTAACCATTTACGTAAGCTAAAGAGCCTTGAGGAAGAACAGAAGAATAGGCTCGAAGTCCAACCTTTTCCAAACCTGACATTGTAAATAAGCGGAATGCCATGTTGATAATATGACTTAAATAGTCAAAAGTGTGGAGGGTGGGGTCACCGGCGGGAAGCTATGAAGTGGTGTATGCAAACGCGCTCCAATGACAAATATATTCGAATAGCGTCGTCTAAACTATCTTACAGTTAGTTATTTCTCTATCTCAGCAGAATAAAAGCATATTTCAGAATGTCTAAAGAAAGAAAACGAAGTAGAAGCCGTAGCAGATCAAGAGATAAAAAAGAGAAGAAGAAAAGAAGACACTCAACATCCAGCTCAGACAGTAGTAGAAGTCCAGACCGTTTTCAGGTATAGCTCGTACTTAGCCCTTTAAACCATACAAACCTTCAGGCGAAACTTGATAATGAAAGAGCTGAACGGAAAAAACAGAAAAAATTAGAAAAACAACGTTTAAAAGACAAGGAAACACCTGAAGAGAAACGAGCTAGACGATTAGCAAAGAAAGAGAAGAAGGTATTTCATTCTGTTGCATAATCCTCAGTAATATCCTTCTCATAGAAAAAAGATAAGAAAGAAAAAGAAAGCGAAGGATACCTCCCACCTACTCTGTCATATACAAACTTGAACAATCCTTTCAATGATAATAAGCTTACCGAAACGTTTGTTTGGGGGAAGAAGTTGGAATCAGAGGGAAGAAATACTGTATCTCACAAAACTTTGGAAAAAGAGTTCGTTCAGTTCTTACAAGTTCCAACTTATAACTGACTTCAGAGCCCGAAAACGAGTTCAAAAGAATGTTCGTGAAATGGAGGACTTCAAACGAGCTCGTGATGCTAGAATAGCCGCGAGGTAAGCTGACAAGTGCGAACCAATTGCAAACCTGTGTTTCAGAGAAGATAGAGATATGATTCAAAGAGATTTGGATCGCAGAGCCCATGGAGATTGGGACTCTAAAGAACGGCAGTTCCAATTAGAGCAAGTTAAGGTCAGAACAAAGCTCAGGATTGAGCAAAATCGAGCAAAACCTATCGATCTGCTGTCTCGGTACTGTATTCTCCAACTCTTTCAAATTTTAACCAAACTTCCAGATATATAACTTATGGAGAAGACAGTAAGGCCGATGATGAAGACGAGTTTGAATTGCAACATCCTGCTACGTACGTTCTTAACCTCGGCATTGAGGAATATGAAGATTTGATTGAAGATATCAAGGTTAGTTATCTGCTTCAACTCAATTACCGTTTGGAAATAGGTATATCGTTCACTGGATGAAACCAAAAGCCCCGAATTCTGGAAAGATGTTAGATGCATAATAGATGATGAGCTGAAAAAGTTGAAAGCTGATTCTAGTCGATCCGAGATCCATAATTCTGTACAGGCCGAAGTCTTGAAGATGTTCAAAGTAAGTTTTCTCTCCTTTTCTACAAATATCATTCCGTCGTTTCGGATTACTTTGCTAAACTAACTTCAATGTTCTAGGGTAGCAACTTGACCGAACTTCTAGAGTTAGAAAGCGGGATTACAAGCCGCATCAATAATCCCGGCCCTGGAGTTGATGTTGCTTATTGGGAAGCTGTCCTAGGTTTGTCTTTATCAGCATGACTTTAGAAACCTTAGTGTTCAGAACAGTTGAAGGTGCATATTGCTAAAACTAGATTGAAGCAATTGCATCAATCCAAGATTCAGCTGAAACTGAAACTTATCCGCGATGAGAATGAACGGCAAATCGGAACCTCAGGCCAAGTCACCAAAGCGCCTAAGGTATGCATCATTGTCCAGTTTGTATGATAACATACCATGTTTAAGATTATGCGCATGGAGGACACTGAAGAGATCGAAACAACTATCCGCAGAAAAGTTAATATTGCTGAGTTTGAGAACGACGATCTGGACGAGCAGGAACTCGAACTGAAATGGAGGTAATGGAGTACCTTGTGTATTGCACTAACATCTCATGTATTTAAGATCTCTTGCACCTGAGCAGTTGGAGTTTGTTACCTTAGAACTGTATGAACGTGGAGGCTACAGTCCTGTATATTTGAAAAAAACTGAAAACATGCCTGGAATTGAAATATTGGAGGAGGATGCTGACAGAGATAATCTTTTAGCTATCCGTCAACGTAACAGAAAGAATAACGCAAACGACTCTTTGATTGAAGTATGATCATCCCTTTGATAGTGTTTAGTAAGCTTCTTTTCAGAATGTGGATTCGAAGTTACTCACAATAGCTAAACAAGGAATGGAAGGTGATGAGTCTATGTTCTCAGTTGAGGCACCAATTGATACCCAGGTTGGAGCACTTTTTTCGAATGCTAATTTTCTTTTTTTTCTTATTAGACTTTGCTCTGGTCCGATAAGTACCGTCCAAGAAAGCCCACCTACCTCAATAGAGTACAGACCGGCTTCGATTGGAACAAATATAATCAAACCCATTATGATATGGACAATCCACCACCTAAGATTGTTCAAGGTTATAAATTCAATGTGAGTTAGATAGAACACTATACCGGGATTGTCTTCTTAACTTCAGATTTTCTATCCTGATCTTCTTGATAAGAGAGAAACTCCATCTTTCTCAGTCACTCCATGTGATGACAAAGATTTTGCGATCATCAGATTCAAGTCCGGCCCACCTTATGAAGATATAGCTTTCAAGTAAGCTTACCTTATGATTCGTTCAAACTCATTCTTGGCTTCAGAGTTGTCAATCGTGAATGGGAAGTCAGTCATAAAAACGGTTACAAATCGCAATTCCAAAACGGCGTATTCCAATTGTGGTTCCAATTCAAGAAGTATCGTTACAGAAGATAGCTTTTCGTCCGCATTCTCTTTTGGGTACTGTTCAAAGAACTTAAATATTGTTGATTTTAAACTAATTATTTCCAATAAACGGTTGTTATTCAATGATATATGAGCTTTCAGAGGTCATCATGTACCTCAAGTCTGATACCTCACATCATTTGATTGATTTTAAAAGTTTTCGAACTTCAGATGACACTCCTGGAGCGGATGTTGTCCTTCTTTTTCACAGTGAATTCGCGAGGATTCCTCTTCGTCGCATCTGTTCTGATGGTGCTAGATACTTTCGTTACTTTCTTCATCATCAAGAAGGTTCCATGTACGCTTTATCCTCGAAGTATAGTTTCAAGCTGCTTGTTCAGACACTGAAATTGATTGGTCAACTTACATGCAACAAGTAGAATGCTTCACTAAGAAGAAGATATCGAACTACTCCTTGATTGAAGGAGATACGGGTCCTGTTGTGTATCCTGCCGGTCATCTTTACATTTATCAAATGTTCTATGTATTGACTAACAAAGGAAAAGACATTGTCACTGGACAATACATTTTCATGGTTTTGTATCTTCTGAACCTATTCTTCGTCTTCCGCCTCTATTACAAATCCAATAAGGCAAGATTAATCAGTCAAAAAGCTTACCGTCATGAATGTCTCTTCAGATTGCTCCATTCGTTCTGCCTCTTCTTGTTATCACCGGCTATAGAATTCATTCCATTTTTGTTTTGAGAATGTTCAACGATCCCGTGGCCATGCTATTCTTCTATATTGCAGCTAATTTGTTTATTTCTCAACAATGGATCTTCGGCTGTTTGTTCTACAGGTACTACCTATGAGCACGCAAATGCAACCGCACTCCGTGAAATCTGGACTAAAAATGAAATTGATTGGCTAACTTCGACTCGTTTCAGTTTTGCGGTTTCAATCAAAATGAATATTCTTCTGTTTGCACCAGCTCTTCTGTTTGTGCTCCTTCTGAATATTGGGCTCATTAGAACGATTCTCAACCTATCCATTTGTGCCTTAGTTCAGGTAATTATAAAGATTCTTGCTCTATCACAGTGTTCTTCAGCTTTTTATGGGACAGAAGTTCCTTATGTACGATCCAATTGCTTATATCAGGAGATCCTTCGACTTGGGACGGGTTTTCATGTACAAATGGACCGTTAACTGGAGGCTTCTACCTGAAGAGGTGAGTAGTATAAGACTTACCATCCCATCAATCGCATTAGGTTTTCTTGGATAAGAGATTACATCTTGCCTTGTTAGCACTCCACGTGGTTGTGGTGCTTGCCTTTGGTTATTATATGTGGTTCAGGTACCTGTATGTCCTTTTCTGTCGCCTTACCTTTAGTTATAGATCCCACGGCGGTTTGAGAGCAAGTCTGCTTGAGTTGAGTCATGGAATCCGTACTCGCACTGGAGTAGCAGGTATGCCGCCTTCATTATCTCTTGACTGGACTTGTTTTTCCTTTTTTCAGAAACACTCTTCGCTTTGTTCACTGCGAACTTCATAGGAATGATGTTTTCTCGCTCCCTACATTATCAGTTCTACAGTTGGTACTATCATCAACTTCCATTCCTGCTATTCTGGAACTCATCTCATTTTGATGGATCAAAGGTCAACTTTATGAGTATTTTCTTGAAGTGAGTGCTACACTTATAACTAGAACACAGTTCCGTCTTCCAGAGTATCCATCCTAATTGGAGTCGAGTTCTGTTGGAACATCTATCCGTCAACTGTCTTGTCATCTTCCTTGCTCCATTTCTACCACTTCGTCATTCTAGGATATTTAATTGTTACTCGAATAGAGAGATATAAGAGAAAAGTCAAAACAACCTAAGTCTGCTGAGGTTGTGTGTTTTCAAGGATTCGCGGGGTTATCTTAATCAGATTAATTTATTTAAATTATTATTGTGTTATTGACTTCTTAGTCTTATTGAGACGAGTATCTTGTTGTGAATATGCATGCTTACCTATTGTTGAATTGGGAAAATAAAAGTTCTTTTACCTCCGTGGTTCTCACTCAGTTCCTCAGTTGACTGCTTCTCATACTTCTCTGATTATTGTATCGTGCTCAGATAGTTCTTCAGATTATATGACATGAACAGATTGTTCAAATGCCTCCCTTCTACAAGCTCCATGAGAGCCCTCTCAAGTATTGAAGCCCAGAAAGCTTTACCAGAGCATATGAAAGTAAGAACTCCCTCAGTCATCATTCATCCATTGCTTAGGTATTTGACCGCAATGCTAAACGACGACAAAGAGATTGGTCTTTCACTCATAAAGATTTCGAGGCAGCTCAGTATTTGAAAGAAGAAGTAGGCTGGCGAGTAGCTGACAAGGTTCCCCTCCCTGGCTTCTAGTAATCAAATACCTTCTTTAGGTTTTCGATCTGACCAAATTTAATGAACTCGCCTTAGATATAGGATGTGGTATAGGACATATAGCTCCTCACATGATCAAAGAGAATATTGGAAAATTGATACAATGCGACATGAGCCAGGTTCTAGTAGAGAACAGTAAAGGCTGCGATGATGATGAGGTACTCTGACCATCTGATCGAACTGGACTATATGTTAAGGTTGTGATCGAGAGAGTTCATTGTGATGAAGAGCTCTTAGAACCATTTCACAAAGAACAATTTGATCTCTTGCTCTCCTCTCTGTCAGCACATTGGATAAATGATTTACCGGGATGGTAAGATTGACCCCTCTTCAGGGAAAGACAGCAATGAATGCTCGTTTGTAGGTTTCAAAGATGTTTTGAAATCCTGAAACCTGATGGGGCATTCATTGGAACCATGCTGGCTGAGGACACCCTATATGAACTTCGATGCTCGTTACAGCTGGCCGAGGTTACTTTGAAAAGTATTAATATATAATCCTGTTCCACTTCAGATTGAACGGGTCGGAGGTGTTGGTTCACACATATCTCCATTTGTCAAAGCTCAGGATATTGGCGGGTTGCTGGGAAAAGCTGGATTTGATATGATAACCTTAGACACAGACGAAATAGAGGTAAACCTTAAAACTTGAGTATCACTAACTGTGAAGTAAAGGTTGGATATCCAAACATGTTCGCCCTACTTTATGATCTCCAATTGATGGGAGAATCGAACTGTACTTATCGTAGAAGTCCTAGTGTTCGGAGGGATGTGCTCCTGGCCGCCGATTGTATTTATAAAGTATGCCTCTTCAACCTAAATCCCCTGAAATTGTCCGTTTAAGGCGATGTATGCAAAAGACGAAAAGTATCCAGCCACCTTCAGACTGGTGTCCTATATTGGTTGGAAACCTGGTCCATTGATGCCAAAGCCTGCTAAGAGAGGATCGCAAAACGTATCCTTAAAGGTAATGTCTCATTTTGATGAAGCAATTACACGTTCCATATTAGGATATTGGTAAGTTAGTGGAAAATCCAGAACTATTAAAGAAACTTTCCGACACAAAGGAAGGAAAAGAGAAGAAATAAAAGAAATATTTATTCTTTAGCACATTGTAGGATATAGATTCTGGAAATAAATTTATTACAAGGATATCCTGAGTTGTACCCGTAAAGTATGGTTATATTAAAGATCCCGTCTAACAGTATCAACATTCAACAATATGCAAAATATAAGAACTGAATTGGAATATAAAAGAGCAGCGTTTTCTTTTTACAACACCGGACTCAAATTCTAAAACGAATGGATGAAAGTACAAGTTGAGATATGGCAGTTGAGTGAGACTTATACTAATAACCCATTTCCATTAATAATTGCTACATTCGGAGATGCTGAGTTCTCCTTCTCTGATGATGTCAGATGGAACTCATTAGGTGCATGGTAATGACCAACTACACGAGAGTTATCTGAGTTTTGAATCTGAAAAGCAAGTTTCTTCTCAGAAAGTACGAAACAACTAACATGGAAAGAGCTTCTATATCTTTGTTGATTGCCTAGAGAATGTGTCAAGCGTATACCCGGAGAATATTCTTTCGGTTGCAAAAGACGGATTCCTGGAGAGCTGACTTCATTTTCTCTATTGTTCTCACTACTTGTAGGAGAACCCTGAACCATACGTCTAAGTCTTGTTCTCACATAAAATACCTACCAGCTTCGTCTTCCAAAGATCCATACGAGCAGGTGGTGGTGGCCATTGCGACTCACATGATGAGCTAGGTACTCCAGAATCGGAACTATTGGTATCCGGATATGGAGAGCCTAGCACAGGAGCATCTATAGAAGGAACAGAATCCTGAAGATGAATATCATAGATCTGTTGTTTCTCAAGTAGGCTCTCACTTGACTAGCATTTCGTTGTCGATCTAGTTGAGGCTTCCTAGTGGAGTGCCCAGGTTGAGAAGCATATGCACTCACTTCTCGAATCTTCTCATATGTCGCAATTTCAGTAGGAGAGCCCTGATATTATAACTGAACGTTGAACAGATAACAACAAATACCTTTTCAATACTCATATATCCCATAGACTCTCCCATGTTCTGCTCGTCCTCATCCGCAACATGTTCCCTGATTCTGAGAAGAGTGCGGCTTTTCGGATCAAAACTTATTAGGGAGGTTAAGTTTCCACTGGAACTTCGAACTATGTCTCCTGGCTCAGGTATGTCATCGGAGGACGGTTCCTAAAAAGAGAATCGTAAACTGCCTGATAGCATCTGCAACCTCGTGAACTGTCGCTCTTCTTTTCTGTTGTGTGGATTTTTTGAATCTACCACTTGATTTGCCAGCGGGTACACGTCCAGTATCTTCCATGGGAACGCGAGGTTTATTCAGTTTCGAATAAAAATCGTTGTTTCCAGAAAAAGCCTCTGATTCATCGTCCGTATTTTGCTGCTGAAATATATTCTCTTAGAGATCAAAAGATTGTTTTTTTTTCAAAGCTTGACAAAGGGGGGACGATTAAACTTGAGATTGCACAGAAGGGACCCTATTCTATAAACTACCTGTCTCTCTGCTGCTAGAAGAGGGAAACACTGTAATCGCTATTAGAATCTCTTGTTTCAAGAAAAGAAAATCAATAATTAGAATAAGACTATAATGGTCCACACTATGAAAACCATTTTCAGTCAATGAACTATGTAAACCGGTTGCATTCAGAATTCAATTCGTTAATTGAAATAAAATAAAACTTACTAGAGAGTTAGTTCTCATTTTATTCCTTTTCAGTTTATTATTACGATCGTAAACAGGCAAGGGAGGCAACGGATCATGACTGATATTCTCGTTGGTGACGTTATCAAACGAGGAGTTCATATAGCCACTGCTGAAAAGGAAACATGAGTGAAATTCAAAATGAAAGGGAGGTGATGTGGCTGTGGGTTAGCCATGAAAATAAGGATGAAAGACATGTACTCAGAAACTAATAAACCAGAGCCACCCGACAGTGCAAGCAATTCCTCATATTTCGAAACATGCAACTCCTACTCTACGTCTCAGGAACACTACTGTTAAAGCACACAAGTACTAAACCCCAGCCCGTCATTATATTAAGATCTTCAACAAGAAGAGTGAGATATATGTGCAACAAATAAAAAGTAAGGCCGCCCACTCTGTCTGCGAACCTGACGTCGTTGATTGAGCTTGAAGCTGTCGGTGGTGCTTTCATAGCTGGCAGAGCTGCACTACCGTGTTTTATATCAGCGTATGTAGGATTTGAAGATGGTAGCATGGATGGAACCATTTTAGCCTTCCTAAACAAGTCAATTCAATAAACTGCACGAATCAATCACAAACTTCTTTTCGCAGAAGATGATCATAGTCAAGACAAAGCTTAAGGCTGCCAAAAGAATATGGATGAAGGCTTGACCAGCTTCGATATAATAGTACGAGAGGAAGCAGGAGGTCTGAACCCATCGTGATCTGAAGAGACACATTGACTCCAATCAACTCATTTGCATTCCCACCTATGAACATCAAACTTCGACTCACAACCAGGAGTATAACGTAAGAAGAAAGAAAACGAATACGGCAATCCGGCCGATAGAACCGATTTCGATCTGTCACCGAAAACACCCCAATACCTGAAACAGTGAGTTGAATTTGTAAAGAAGACTGGAAGCTTACCAAAGTAAAATCAGGGTGTTTTGAGCAATACTGATGAGATTCGAAACTGCTAGCGCTGCTAACAATGCAGGCCTCCGTTGTGTTACTCCAAAAAGACCTGTTAGACAGCATACAATCTGCAAAGACAAAGTGTTAAAGCACATTTTTGAAAAAGGAAGTTAGAACATCTAGTTTGCATTTTCTTTTCTTCATGAAAGGAACACTAAGACTATCCTTTTCATAATAGAAAACAAGAATTTGACCGAAAGCAAGCATTCTACTAATCATGGAGCCTGATCGTATGTCACACAAAGAATCGGTGGCTGGCTCTCGAGCTTAAGCATATCGAACAACGCGTGAATGATCGAAGTTCAACTTCGAGACATATGCAAACGAATGATGATATACATCCTTTTTCTAGTCTATCCCCATTCACGAACTTGATCCATCTTGAAAACTATTGAGAAAACAATAGCCAGGACTAGTGCTCATTCATAGTCTTAAAATAGAGCATCAGCTTTATGATTTCTTAAACAATGATCAGAATGTAATACTTCGAATAGTTTTTCGACCTACTTAGCCAAATAACCTTAGAACAGTTTTTTATGTCAGTTCAATTCGACCACAATCACAAAAACCCATAGGAAATGAGAAGATATCATGTTCATTTTGAATTGAGAAGTATTCTGCTTTGAATGAACTAGTTCCCGAACTTGGCTTTCGAACTCTTGATTCGAGTTCAAATGGCTCAGCCATTCGATCTAACTTCCCTACTGTCAGCGATCAAAAGTTCTCCTACAACAACTTTCAACGAAACTGAAACTACATGTGTGCCTTGATTCACCTCCCTAATTTGCATAAGAATGAGAAATGGAATAAGGCAACAGCAGAAAGCCCTACAATTCAAGAAATATTTTAAAGCTTGCCTTATTCCCTATCTCTCTGACAAACATTGCACATTGCTTTGGTTACGTACACAAAGCATATGTATTGTCCTGTCGTATTCACTATTGACCAGCTCGAAGTTTAAGCTTGAACACTTGTCATCTGAGAACTGTCAAGCAAGATTGTGAGCCTGGTCACCAAGTCAAAAGAGCCTTGGATTACAAAACATTAATTGTTCAGCCATAAACACAAAAATTAAAACGAAACCATTCTAAGTTTATCGCCACACTCCGCTCTTCATTAGTCAAACAAAGCTAGCCTTTGATTATTAGAACTAATCAAATCAATACAACCCTCCTTCAGTGGCACACAACCTTTTAAGCTTTGAAGAGAGTGGGATAGCACTCTTTCTGTATAAGTAGCCCTCACATTCATATAACCTCAACGGAGACACCTGACAAATAATCTATCGTCGTCTGACAGACACAGAAAGAGAGGTCGATATCGGGATAGAATTAGGCGATGAGAGACCCATAGAAGGAAAATATCGAATACACATAGCAGAACTAACTAGGCAGCGGTCAATAGGTAAAAACGCAATTCGGATAATACATAACTGGAAAGGATCATGTAATTAGAATCGACAGCACTTCGACGCATCCTTTAGTTCTCTATGTAAGATTTGCAACTCTTACGTATTATAGCAAAGAACAATTGCCAAACTCCATATAATATATGAATAGCCACACGGGGCAAATGACCTCGACTAGCTCGAACAGTGCATTTCATTACCCGGAAACATAGACATTGCGTTGACCTCACTCGGAAAATTGCACGAGAAATCGAGAGTGGATCATTTTCAGATTGAGGACGACAGTCATATTGAAAATTGAGAAACTGTCATGTAAAACGAAGGTTCTCGTCTAAAATTTTCAATCAGGTTTTAAGTGTTTTTAGAATAAGCGAATTCAAAAAGTCCTGTCGTAGAAGCAGAAGGAACAAATAGAAATCTTAAAAGGAATAAAAATAAAGACCCGCACAGTTATTCGTTTTTCGTGTGAAATTGTGTCCCACGAGTAATCAAAAGCAACCACTTAAATCATGATCCTAACGCAATAAATAAAAATGACTATTAATTACACGCAAAGGCTGACACATGTGATTAGGAAGAGGCCATATAAAGATGATTACCTGGAGCAGATTGAATAATACGGAAATCCATAATCTTCCAACTAGATCAAAGACTTGTCTAGCTAAGGTTAGAATGAGCCAAAATGATAGAATCGCAATGAGCCAACTCCTGACTGTCATGACTGATATGTTCGTTCTCAAATACTTCTTCCCTTTCCCATCACGAATCACTAACCTGAAAACATGTGAGATTAGTCAAAAGAACTGAAAAAAATGCTATTTACACGAATACTTAGAAGATACAGTGGAAACTCTCTACTACACATACATACACAAACGGAAAAAGGTCTCATAAACTTAAAAACAGAAACTACTCATCATACCCCCATCCCTCCTGTTTCAAGTTGATAAAGAAAAATCAATTGAATACGTGATAACAGTTTTACAACAAACATCTTGAAGTTCCTGTGTGTGACAATCATACAATACGTGCAACATTTTAGCACCTTCAGGTTCATATCGGAATGGCGTAAAGGGAATATCGAACGGTGGTAGACCCTCTTATAAAGAAGTTAATCTTATCAGTTTCTCTGTCAGATGAACTCTCTCAAATCTTAAGGAAAATGCGAACGATTAAGGCAATGTCATCGTATAGACCATTATTATTACTAATCCTATTATAAAAATAAGATAAATGAGAAATTGTGGCTATTCTCGTTGCAAACAGTAACGAGAAGAAAAAAAAACAAAGAACAAACAAAGATAGTTTTTAGGTTGACAGCGAGCTGATAGAAAAATAGTGAATGTCCGCGCAGCGTTGAAACGAACGAAACAACGAGGTGAATATAGCAGTGGACATCTACCTCTGTCGTTAGCTCCACCCCCTCATTGCAGGCAGAGGACGAAGAAAGAAAGGGAAAAGAGACAAGAGAGTCAGGTAAGCAAAGAAGATAAACAGAGAGGGATGATGGAAAGCCGAATCGAAGCTACTAAGGGCTTCTCGTTATTATATTCGGAGCAGCAGATGATCCACACATGGCATTGAAATAGACCGTGGTGGTTAAATAAACAAAACTACTTAAAAGCATAATACAATGAAGACGAAGAACATCAGCAAGAATAAATAACAAAAATTATTGACGTTCTAACCTTTCGAATTTTTAATCAATCAGGTAATTAACTGTTTCTTTCGAACTAGGATATTCTGAACAAATAGAAGGCGTTCTTCATGAGCTAGTCAGATGGAGAACACGAACCTCTTCATGATATATCATGCAATTGCAAAAATTGTCCCGATCATTCAAATTGAATCTTTTCTAAACAAAAAACAATCATTCACAGAAGGAGAGAAAGTGGAAGCAACCGCATCACACAATTGGGCGCCAAAAATGAGAAGCGTGGTTTAATTTTTTAATTCGAAGCTGGCAGTAGCAGGTCTTGACGCGATGATTAAGGAGTTATGCAATTAACGACTGAGTGCGATTGAAAGGGGAAAACAAACGAATTAAACCTTAGTGCGAACCGCTTTGATGTTTTGAATACTAAAATTTAAACTGAAATACAATTATGAAATTGAATTATGTATTTAACATTCAAAGCTGATAGCGGCGAGACTGACGGAACCCACACTCTAACACAGATAACAAGAAAAGCAAAGCGAGGTTCGAATCAGATTCATAGATCCCGCACTTCTGATAAGAATCGTCCTAGATTTCAACTATTTTCGGAAAAGAAAACTTTCGAACTATTAAAATTAAGAAACGTTTCCGAATGGGAAAAGTTCAAAAAATTGTGCAGAAATAGCAAAGTCCTTCATCTTATTATCTGAGAAACTAGATCAGAGGAAGATCCAGCTGTGATTTATAAGTATCTTTGGACGAAAACAAATCTGATCTGACAGATGCGGAAAAAAGAGTTGCAACCACACTTCATTCCAAAATCTTCCCCAAATGAGATCTTTTCATTTTTTGGTCTCTTCCCTCAAATGAGAAAGCTGTTCCGTTTTTTTGCTTCGCGTGCTGTTTTTAATTCCACCACAACTTTTTGTCTCAAGCATGTGCTTCAGAACGAATATTTCCGAGAATCTGATGATTTCATCGTAATGAAACAATCTGACAGAAATGCGGATATCTGATTTCGTTTACAAACAACCACAAGCGCGCGAAAAATCGGATCGGTACATCTACATCAACAGACTGGCTCATAGAACTACTAGAATCTGGAAAGGAGAACTATACTCAGAATTTTTTATGAGTATTCTTCTCCGTATTTCAATCGATGAGAATGCGTGAAAGCAAAACACATGAAGAAATTCTTTCATCCTTCGAGCTGATCAATCACTGAATGGCGAAAACTGCTAGGTGCAGGAGAGCGCGCGAATTCATAGCAGTTTTCAATTATGCGTATACTCATAGCACTACCAATGCAACTTCGCTCTATTTAAGTTTTGAAACCTTAAGAGTGCATGCATAGCTTCTCTATGATGATTGAGACTTCAAATAGCAACGAGCATTAACCACTTGTTTGAATGAACATTGAAAAACCGCTGAATCAACTAATGAGGTTTTCACTTCGTCACAACCGTATCAACTTGTTTTCTCGTAGAAAATGAAAATGGTTTCCGCCACGCTCTTCATAAGCGATATGAAGCTGACGCTAATTAGCACACTTCGGACACATGAAAGGTTGTCATAACTAGGACTGATAAACTGAAGATAACCGATATTATACAAATCATAGTATGTAATCACATTTACACATGATGACGTTGGGATATCCGAAACTACAGTACGTAGATATACGTAGAGTTGTCAAACTGTTAATTGTTTAGCTGTAGGGCATGGATAACCATTGGGTGCAAAGTACTTATTTCTTAAGACCTAAAGGTCTGTCTGGATCAAGCTATGAACCCGAATTAGTCAATACTCTTAGTTTGTGATGTGTTGACAGATGAGAAAGTCTTAATGGAATTATTGATTTTCTAACTTCAATGTTGAAAAGTTTAATTTAAAGGTGAAAGATTAAAGTTTTGTCATGCTGTCAAACTATGGTATTGGTTCGTCTTATGAATTTGTAAACAATCGGGGTAGTGGTACTCATCAAGGATAGTTATGCTAATTATGGAAATGAGCAAATTCATTTTGCTTGGATCAGTTGCATGAACCGGTTGCATTGTGTTTTAGTGAAGTAAGTTTTTCGTTCTAATTCTCTAATACTATGTGTCATATATCTTTTCTTCCGTCTATCCACGATATGTCGTTCTCTGAGCTGCAATACGTTCCATATTCTATAGAGCAAGCAAAAAGCGTCAAAAAAAAAGAGCTGAAGAAGTTATTCTTTGGGGAAATGACAACTACCCGTTTTAGAACTTCCTCCTTTGGCTGGCTCTAGCAGCAGCATGTTCTAACACGATTGCCAAAAGTGAATTGAATAACTTCTGAGATAGGTTTATCCCGGTAGTTTCGAAGTGCGTTTAGTGTGTGTGTGAGAGATACTTATACTTGCGTACTCCATATGAAAGGTCCTTTTTCATTGTAAATATCGATGAACTGAAAGTAGTTAAGGAATGTATGTACATTGTTTTGACAAAAAAAGAGTTTCGTGAAAAACAGGGGAGTGAGAGAAAGAGAGCAATGGTAGAGAGAGAGAGAACGAGAGATGGACGGAGCAACCTAAAGCTTATAGATGCGTGCATGACGTTAGCTCATCTCATCCAGAAATAGACTCCACTCTCTTGTTTAGATGTTTTCATTTATTAGCTTTTTGTAGTTCATGATGCTTTGACTAATGTTTTTGTTTTGTTATCCGCTGTCTGTGTATGCTGCAGAGAGACGAAATCTTGTGTCATTTTGATTGCTCTGATGTATTACCAGGAGCGGATGTGAACTGAACTCACAATGCAGATTGTCCTTTTTCTATATTTTCCTTGATCATTCGTGTGATGCTAGAACAACCTCCAGCCAACGATGTTGTTTTTGAGGTCCACAGAAGGTTATTGAAACAATTTTTATAAATAATTTGGCTCGACTTGTATTTTTTCCGCTTCACCATCTCACTTTAATCTCTTTCGTATTGTGCTGTCATTAAGGCAACATTTCATTTTTGACTTCACTCTCCTTTTCCAACTTGTTTCCTGCGAGAACGTTACATAGAAATTTTGGTTTAGATCTAGAAAATACAAATTTTATTCATTTCATCTCACTTTTCTCATTTCAAATGCTCATATTTGGATTTGGCGTTGCTCAGAGTCTCAGTTATTTTGTCTATTAATATGAGCGTTTTTCTATTTATCCTTCAAAATGTAATAGATTGTGTCTTACTTCGTCGAAATATCTTTTCAGCCTCCAAATGTCTTGACTATTAAGCATTGTAAGGACAGAGGATTAGGTCAGAGATACTTAACGACAATAAATTTAATTGAGACACAAATCTTTCTCTAATCTTAATTGTAATTGAAAACGTTGCTCCATTGCTTCTTCGAAGAAAAAAACATCGACTTGAGTGTGAGTGTATGTGTGTGTGTGTGTGTGAAGCACACATGAATTCATAGAAGCATTTTGACATTCACCTCCTAATTCTCCTGAAACACAAAGTCCCATGACGAGCATTGTCGTTACTAAGGATTTGCGTTTTTCTTCCAACCACTCTGCTGTTCACTTTCATTTGTCTTTTTGGATATTAATATCTTCCGTACCTTCAAGTCAATTCATGACAAAGTCTAGAGCAATGCTTCAATGTATTGTATTAAATTACTTAATGAAGTGCATAATGCATTACGTTTTCTCACGCTGCTTGTCCCATTGCTGTGTCTGATGCTTTTCATTGCTCGATGCTCCAATCAGATCCTCATTATCTCTATTTCATGATATTGATTAGTGAGCATTGATTTTCTTCAACCTCATCCACGAATATATATGAAACGACGTAAAAAAATAATATATACGATTACATTACCATCATCTTTGATAATTATAGTATTTCTAAATAAGGCATATTATTCAGCCATAAAGGGTAATAAGACTCAATGACATTCACCTCATGATCATAATTCATGTCTTTTCGGTTCCTAATGCCATCCAAAAACTTCCAGAATCCTCTTCTATTCATCATTCTCATCATTCCTCTTCCTTCTCAATTATGTTCAAATTGGAATGTTATAGGGTAAAGAGAAAATGCAGTCATTATCGCATTTAACTGAGACTGACAAAGAAATTCTGCAGAACTCATGGAAAGTTGTCTCCAGGTAATGTTACTTCTAATGTCTTCCAATGTTTTTCTTTGTGTTCTGCAGGGACATGCAGGGCATAGCGGAAGATATCTTTCAAATGATCTTTGAGCAAGCTCCTGATGCCAAACTCCTGTTTTCCTTCATGCTGAAAGAATCAGCCAATGACGATAAGAAGTCCAATGAGTTTTCATTCCATGCTCTCCGTTTCATTCAAGTTAGTCTGAAATCGCGAAAAGATTGTAGAAGTCAGTCATTATAGGTCATAGAAAGCACAATGAATCATATTGATGATCCTTTATCCCTCGATACATTGTTTCTCAATTTAGGAAAGATTCATGCTCGACACGAGGAACATTTGGGATTTAGGTAAGGAGTTATTTCAAGAAAGGCGCGAATCAATTCATTTCCAAATTTCTGAACGCATGGTGCGGTCGCATTCCAAGAAATAGCAATCGCACATTTCCATTCCATTTTTTCAGCTCGCATTATTGGTCAGTTTTTAAAGAATGTGTTCTGTTCCATTTCCGGAAGGCAATGCAGGCAGACAAAATGAAAAACAAACCAGTGAAAAGGTTCGCAACTACTTTATCGTTTTAACACAACTCAAACAATTCGAGATCTTCCAAACGTGTTAGTATTAAATCAACAGCTGAAATAGATTCTGCTATAATATTATGGAGAGAAGTAAACAATCTTTCATTGTCTTTACATATAACCCTGTTAAGATGCTTCGATTCATAATTAGCAAAATGAAAATAGGATTGGAGTCTAACGGACTTATTCGCAAAGCTAACCGCATTGAAGTTATAAACTGTTTGGCTGATAGTAATCAAGGGTCACCAGACATCAAACAAGGAGTATCTCAAGTATACAGCTTGCTCATTACACCTAAACTCAGCTCCTTCCAGATATCACAAGCCTTACGCCGTACCGAGCTCAGTGTCATTGTTCCTGACTACTTTATTCGCAGAAAATCTGCAGAAATATCTCCGGAAAGAATGGATAATAAATAAAATGTAAAAACATGTAGATTAACACACTTTGTACCCATGAAAGCTTAAATAAACTGAATAACACATTCTTCCTCTTCATATAGGGAAGTACAATCGTTTCGAAATGTCGAACAATCGTTTAAAACTCATAGATTACGTTTTGTGTCAAAAGTCAAAAACATAGGTTCCACCGAGATTTGAACTCGGGTCGCAGGATTCAAAGTCCTGAGTGCTAACCGCTACACCATGGAACCGACGAGAACGTATTCGTAGAAACATTAGACAAATATATATCTCTCATATGAGGATATCAAATATGACCTGTTCACCTGCATCTCTGTATACATTATCTTCTCCACCCTCGAAAACATTTGTGTAGCTGAGCTACCCAATCAAAGCCAAATTTCCGAGTATCAACTTAGACAACGAGATATAACCACTGACGTACTAGTTACAACTATGAAGTTATTTTTTCAAGCAAAATGATCAAAAGGTCTGAAGTATAAATTATTTTTCTAACAATCATTGAAATAATAGCAATCTCTTGCAGATCTCAAAAAATTGCGAATAGTAGAGACGTTTACTTGGTAGTACTACTTTTTGAATGCCAGACAAAGCGCGCTCTATTGCTAATAGTACGGTAGGGTTGGGTTTTCAAAGACATCAACCCTTTAACTCCAAAATCATCCTTTTAGCTTCGATGTGTATGTATATGTTGTGTTTATATGATTGAATACTAGTTTTTTTGAATGTTTTAGAAGAGATGGTTGAATCTACTGGTCCAGTATCTACGGGTGTTGATGAAGAAAAGGCGAGAGTACTTGCAACTTATCGCAAAAAGATCATAGAATGTCGTGATATCGAAGCAAGATTGAAAGAATTAAGAAAGAAGGTAAAACTCATCTTTCTTGGTCTTCATTAACATGTTATCTAGGAGCAAGAGATGCAAAAGAACTTCGACAAGACTGAAAATGATATCAAAGCTCTCCAATCAGTCGGACAAATCGTTGGAGAAGTTCTCAAACAGCTCAGTGAAGAGAAGTACATCGTCAAAGTAAGAGTTTCTCATTGCATTCTGTTTCATTGACTATCTAATTCAAGGCAACAAATGGACCAAGATATGTTGTTGGATGTAGAAGATCTATTAACAAAGAATTGCTTAAACAAGGAACTCGTGTTGCTCTTGATATGACAACCTTAACTATCATGTAAGTCCTAGTTGTTGATGATGATATAAGATGTATGCATCCTTTCTAGGAGACAGTTACCTCGTGAAGTTGATCCATTAGTATACAAGATGTCTCATGAAGATCCTGGAAATATCAGTTATGCTGATGTTGGAGGTCTTGCCGAACAGATCCGTGAACTTCGTGAGGTAATGACGAGTTACTTGATCTATCTCATTTGATGTTTTAGGTTGTTGAACTACCTCTTCTTAATCCCGAGCTTTTCAAACGTGTTGGTATCACTCCTCCTAAAGGTTGTTTATTATACGGACCTCCTGGAACAGGAAAGACTTTATTGGCAAGGTAACGTTCATTCCGTTTTCATTTACTGATATGCCTTGTACAGAGCGGTTGCTTCTCAATTGGATTGTAACTTCTTGAAAGTCGTGTCATCAGCTATCGTTGACAAGTACATCGGAGAATCTGCCAGGTTTGATTAGATTCAGATGCTCCGTTACTATGAAGTTCGTTTAAGAATGATCCGTGAAATGTTCAATTATGCCAGAGACCATCAACCTTGTATTGTATTTATGGATGAAATCGACGCTATTGGTATGTGCTACTTCGTTCCACGTTTCTCATTGACTGGTTAAGGTGGTCGTCGTTTCTCTGAAGGAACATCAGCTGATCGTGAAATCCAAAGAACTTTAATGGAGTTGCTCAACCAGTTGGATGGTTTCGATTCCCTCGGTAAAGTCAAGGTATGTTGAGTTGTACTCTTCGTGCTATGATGTTGTTGTGTATAGGTAATTATGGCCACTAACCGTCCTGATACCCTTGATCCCGCTCTTCTCCGTCCTGGACGTCTCGACAGAAAAATTGAAATTGGTTTGCCAAATGAGCAAAGTCGATTGGAAGTAAGATATACATTGATCTCTCATATATATCATATCCATTAGGTACTTAAAATCCACTCTAACCCCATAACTAAGCATGGAGACATTGACTTCGAAGCCGTCGTGAAGCTTTCCGACGGATTTTCATGTGCTGATTTAAGAAATGTTTGTACTGAAGCTGGTAAGTATCCTACTGATGTTCTTCTCTAATCGATATGTACAGGTCTTTTCGCCATTCGAGCTGAAAGAGAATATGTAATTGAGGAAGATTTTATGAAAGCAGTCAGAAAGGTAATAGTAGCAACTGGTTTCAATCGAAATGTAACATTTTCTTCAGGTTGGTGATGCCAAGCGCTTGGAAACCAAATTAGACTACAAACCTGTATAATTTTCGAAGTTCTCTTTGTTCAACGCGTGTTTAATTTATGATCCATCTCAATTTCGACCGGATAAATTATTTTGTAAATAGTGAGAAGCATTCATTCATACTGTTACCTGATAGTAACAACACCCAACAAGTGTTGGAATAAACTGGTTATTTCATGCAATGTAGGGTCAAGGTGGGAGGATATTTTTGGCGGCGAAGTGATAGGATGCCTAACACACTTGGGATTTTAACATTATTTCCTGTCTTTCACTGTGTGATCTGAAAAGTGTTTATCATGGCTAGCACGACAGGTCCATTGGGATAAAAGTGATATCTAATTAGTATATCACAACTGGTTACATTAGCCATAGTTGGTGACATATTTATTGCGTTTCCCAATCTTCTTCATGCCCTCGACTTATACTTTCACAGACCCTTTCCTTTCCTTCACATAGTTGTTTCATTGCCATTCAATCTACCATCTTCTTTTTTTTTTTCGAAATCGCACAATATATCATAGCGCTTTAAGTATGCTGTTGCTCTGGAGTTTTATTATCATCGGAATGGTTTCGGCTAGACCAGATCGACGAACTCTGCTACTACGAGATGAGGGACCACCCGAAGCCAATAGATTTTTTGCCGATGACGAAGACTCTTCGCAAGATACTGATTATTCTACTGTAGGTGTCAGACACTTTTCAGCTCAAATAGATTTTCAGACAGAGGATCCAGCCGTAGCTGATGCACGGAAGACAGAAGAGCTCATTAGAAATGCTTTCCACATTGACTTCGTATGGGCAAATGGCACAGAAATCGTTGCTGATCGTTCAAGTATCTTTGAGGTGAGAAGAGTTGTTCATTCTAATGGGTCCTGCTTTCCTTTCAAGGTTGTTCCACTCGATTATCTTTGTGATTTTTGTTTAGCCGTGATAGACAAGTTGAAAGTTCGTAAAGAAACAGAGGAAAACTTCGAAGAGGTAAGGAGCTGACAGTCTTCTTCATCAACGCCTTGCCTTCAGAACATGTCGAAAGAGTGTTGGGCTTATAATGGTACAGATAAAGATGATGGTACTATATGTGAACTAGTAAACAAGTACAAAGACTATGTTTCTCCGATTTCAATATGGCGAATTCAGAGTTAACTTGGAACGTTTGAAAAATGATGAAGCAACCAAAATCTGCGTGGATGAAAAGCTATGTCCCGATATTGAGAGAGAAGAATTAGAGAAACGGGTATGTTGCATGTACTACTGCGGTTTAACTTAATCACTATGGTCTGATTGAAGAATCGGTGAAGATATTCAATTCCAGATGAGAGAAGAACGTATTCGTCAAGAAGACAAGCGTAGAGAAAAAGAAAAGATCGAAGAGGAGAAAAAGCTGAAAGCTTTACAGGACAAGGAGAAGATCTCCGAAGTAAAAGAAAACATCAAAAATGAGGTTTGTCCATGATGTACTTTCTGTTGTTCACGCTATATCTGTCTACAGGGGTCGCGTTTGGAGTATGAGAAGCGTATAGAAGCAGAGGAGAGGAAACGCGTTGGAGACATACAAAACAGGGTTCATTCCAAATCGGGGGATTTAGAATATATAATCGACGAGGTTTTGTGCGTGAGACCACTCATCTTAAACAGAAGTTTGTAGGTTGATGAGAGTGATAACAATGACTACTTGAATTTGGCGAAAGAAGATAAGAAAACTGATGCGAACAGTGGCTTGGGAGAAGCGGAAGGAGAAGCAATCGACGATACTCAGGTTAACATTCTCAGCATATTTCCTAAACTAAAGAAAAATGAGTACTAACATCACAGTGATCTATGAGCAACCGATGATTGCGCGCCAAACACAAAGAATGAAAGCGTCGCAACATTTTTAATTTTCAGGTCTCTGGTAGTGCAGTTATCTCTAATAAACCAGGTGGTGTTCTTTTCGTTGACCGAACAGTATCCACTTCGCTAGTGGTTGATAATGTGTGATCAGAGTGCTTTACTGTACCCTTCTACTTCGATTCTTGTAAGGATCATTCCTTTCACTTCGTCTGAATAAGTTATTCCAATGCAATTTTCTAATAAATTATAACTCAACTGTATGATTTCTCAAAACATTAATAAAAGGATTCATAGGGGTTACTCCGAAAACAAAAATGTAAAACAATATTTGGTATTTAACATGCCTTTCAGTGTTTGCTTATTATACATTTAATTATGCTTCTTATGATTGGTTAAAACTTTCTGCCAGGCACCGGAATATTGCTTCCCGAAGTTGTTGAGAACGCTGATGGCATTCGCATACCTGTAATGAACTATTCACCTGTCAACGAATTATTAAATTACCTGTAGCTGGACGTGTTGCCGTTGGAGCTTTTATTTCTGATCCGGGCAGCGTTCTTGAACTACTGCTTGTAGGTCTGACAGCTGTGGTGGATGGACTCGGCTTCCTTACAGTAGAGGATGGAATGGTTGATTTAGTGGCGGGAGAAAATCGGCTCATAGGGGTGATCGTTCGTTCAGAGCTCGCCTGCACGACTCTGGGCTTGCTCAAAGGCTTCACAGGGGTAGATCTTGCAGACGCTATAGCGCTTTGAGAGGGAGGACGAATAGGTTGCCTTGCTGCTGTAGTCACTACTGAAGTAGAACTTAGATGTGAAGTATATTTCTATACTACCTGGTTTCGGAGCTACCGTGGTCGTTCTAACGACAGGAGCTGGGGCCGCCGCCTGAGTTCGTACCACTGGTGCAGGTCGAACTGGTGCACGACGTGCCGCAGATTGAGGTCTGGAGGCACTAGAAGGCTTAGGAGCCGACTGAGATGGAATTGGCTTACTAGCACTAGGCTGGAAAAGAAGGCCATGAATTTCAAAAATGATAAAATTATGAACTTTAGCAGAGCTGTTCCCAAACAAACGGATGTACTCAGTGCAAGCTTTCGTTCCATACTCCTCAGTCAAAGTAGTGACTAATGCCGAAACCTATACAACATAGTGTTAGTTTCACAAGCTGTAGATACCTTGTCAGCTTTTAGTTTTGTTTCGCTTATGCTTGGAAACAGCCTTAGAGTGATCGGTTCTCCAAGCGCTTTCCAAATTCCTGCGACCACTTTGAACGCCGACTCACGGACCTCACCGTCACCATCAGAGCAACACTAAATCGAAGAGTAGAGCTATTTGAATAGATGTGTTACCTTTTCAATATCAGCTGTTATAGTTTTCAAAGGCTCGATAGGCATAGTGTTGCGATCGTGTTTACAAAACATCCGGCTCAGAAACTGGCAGGACTGGCTTCTTGCCTGAGGATTTTTGTTCTTGAGTCCATTACTGATCGACTCCGTGTAGATGGACAAGCAGGCCTAAACTTTGGAATAACAAAAGTGGTTGATACTGAAGACCATATAAGTGCAGGTATCGGTGAGTCCAATGAGCTCCTTCCTCAAAACTTCTTTCTTATCTTTCAACTTGTCCAGGGATATATTTACAGTCTAGAGAGATAGTATGAGAGAAAGAAGGATTTGCATGACTTACTTTTGATACAAAGGGTGAGAACTCATACCGTAGTCCGAGGGCTATCAGTCTCATGCTTTTAGCAGCAGAGCTACTCACATTAACATTCAAATCTTTCTCTATCACCTTCAAATGATAATTAGGCTTGTTGTTGATTACTTCTCTCACCTTCAATAAACACGTAATCATTTCTTTAAGCTCAGGGGATGAGATGAGTCTTGGCTCCAGTTCGAGTTTCAACAAAAGATTATCTAATGCTTCTTTTCTCACTTGCCACTTGCTATCTTGTATCTTGAAATCGTTCAGTATTGATATCAATCAACTCTCACTCACTTCTTCCATCCATGTTTTAGATATTTGGGCATTGAGGTTTATGGGATCTTTCAACTCCCATGGATCGATTCCTAGGTTCTGTACAGTTGATGAACCTTCTTCCTCTTTAACGACTTCTCCCTAGAAGAAAAGTATTCAAACATAATCACAGGGAACTCACAGATTCAGTCTCAGTGATGCTGCTTTGCTCAACCGTGCCAGAGGATTCTAAGAACTTAGCACGTGCTTCAGTTGCTTTCACCAAATTTTCATCAATCTGAAGAGTGAAAACGGTAACGGTGAAAGTAGAACCACAAATACCAAGTCCATTTTCTTCTTATCTCCATTTATGGGTGTGATAAAAGTACTCATTGCATCTCCTAGAAGTCTCTTAGCTGAACCAAGACAGGCACACGCTGATTCTCGAACTGCTGGATCACTATCGTTGGCCAGCTTGAATAGATATTGATTGGGAGATGGGACAAGTTAGTCACCTTGACTACTGATGGTAGAATACTTTTAAGGAAAGCCATAGGAGGACCTTTCATCATGACGAAGTATCTATACAGAAAAGCTAAAATAGTTTCTTTTGTTTGAGGAGATGGCTTAGTAATGTGCTCGTTAATATAGTTGATTAGTCTATCAGGATCACACTAAAATGCTCTTCACAGCTAAGTCTACTACTAGTCAACTCACATAGGCTGACATAGCATCCAGTGCTTCTCCTACTGCATCTCTCACCGTCTGTTTTTTATCTTTGGATTTGTCCAGTACAAAGCTGTATAACTGAAACGCAGCTTGTGAGATGATGAGGATGTCAGGATTACCATGCTTATGAAGGCAGAAAAGTTGTGTCGTAACCCTTTGGCAAGTCCAGCCAGCACTTTCAGAGCTATTATCACCACATTAATATTACTGTCTTTTGATATGATCTGAAGGATAGAACTCTTGTCATAGCTCTTCTATGGCTCAGTACCTTTCTCAGATCATCCATGACTTCTCCATAAATGGTAGCTTTGGGTGCAAGTCGGGGATTTTTCTCTATCAGAGCAAGTAAGGACTATAAAACAAGATTGAGCTATCTTGGATTAATCTGAACCTCCAAGGATTCTTTCCTCTCGAGCCATTTAGCCGAAGTGATCTTGGCTTTCTCTGCAGAAGGCCAGATTCCTATAACATCAACTTCGTCCAATATACTCCATTCATCCATCCTAGAAAGAAAGGATTGAGCTGATCGACCAATTTCCCATATATAGCAATTGAGATAATCGTGGATAACTCATGACTGTTCGAAAAGAGACATTACTAAAAGCATGAAAAAGTTTATTTTGAGAAAACAGCAAACATAGCGGGATTAAAACAAATCAAACTCAACAAAGCTGATTAAAAACTTAAACAATCAAGATCAGGAAGGAGATTGTTCAAATTAAAACGTGTAGCCAAAAATTTATCCGAAAGCTAAACGCAGGTAATTATAAGAAAGCAGTGGGAGTATACTCCTTATTGGGGCATCTCTTGGACTGGTCCGTCACCACTGACTGCACGTTTTGTTCCAGATACAATATCATCGATTCTCAACAACATCACCTGAAAACCAGTAATTAAACTAGTTCAAACTATTCTAAACGTACCGATGTTTCGACGGCAGTCTTGAGAACTTGAGATCTAACAGATAAGGGGTCCCAGATTTCGAGTTGTTTCATATCAACCTGAACAGTCACTAATGAATAAACGAACAACTCGGTAAAACTGACCAGTTCACCATTGGTACCATCGATACCCCAGGTCCAGTTGTTGGGATCTTGAGCATGCTTAGCTCTCAAGGCAGTTAATTGACGGATAGTGTTTCCACCGCAGTTTTGGATAAGAGTACGAGGAATAACTTCAAGAGCGCGAGCAATAGCTTTGTATGGCCATTGTCTAACTCCTTCGATGGTCTTTCCTTTTTCAGTTATAGCCTACAATCGATATGAATACAAATCCGATCGGTTACTACAACTACAAACCTGAGCAAGACTCATTTCCAAAGCTCCTCCACCTGGAACAAGTTTGGGGTTCAACATAATGTTACGAACAACGTGGAGAGCATCTTGCAAGTTACGCTCGACCTAACCATAAACATATAAACGAGAAAGAGAAGAAATGCTGAACCTCATTGATAACATCCTTGGATGGTCCACGAAGACAGACTGTGCAAGCAGTAGTCTTAGAGGAAGTAACATAAGTGTAATATCTAAATAGGGATTATGAATATACAACTAACAGTAGCTACGTACTCATCAGCGATCTTTGTGATTTCGAAAAGTTCGGCTTGAGTTCCGACATCTTCCTCGCGGAGATCAGCAGTGTCATGAACGATGCGACCACCACAAACTCTGAAGAAGTGAAAACTAAATAAATATAGCATAAAATTCAAACCTGGCAAGACGGTTGTTATCGGTTTTCTTCAAACGGCGGATGGCGGTGATTCCAGCCTTAAGAAGGAAGTGTTGAGCCAAGTCGGAGACTCCTTTCTCGGTGAAGACAAGGTCTGGCTTGACTTTGATGATTTCGTCACATTGTTTACGAATAGATTCTTCTTCCTACAAACAGTGGTTAATATAATCAAACGATAAAGAAATTAACCTGTTCGAGAATTCTGCTGATGTCTTCCTCTCTCAAAACTTCCAAGCTAGTTTGAGATTCTCCCTTCTTGTACTCAAGATTGCAATCCAAAAGAACGATTCTAGGGTTCTCGACACGTCTTCTCATTTTGGCATGAGTAACATCCTTCAATTCAAATAAACAAGTAAGAACATATGCAAAAGAGAATGCAAACCTTGTTGAGAACAACTCCCTTGATGACTTTGCAGTCTTCAATGGTACCTCCTGGGATTTTTTCGATACGGCAATATCTAAACAAAACTAGTTGTAGAGGTATTATGCCCATAACTTGTTCACCTCTTGATGTCAATTTCTCTGTGTCCGGCATGATCTACTTTAACAGTCTTAACAGCGTCGAGAGCGATTTGAACAGCCAAGTCCATCCACTTGCTCATCATCTTGGTTCCCAAGCAAGACTTTACAACAACAGCCGTCTGTTTATCGAATTTATACTAATGAAGCACAATGAAACACCTTACCTCCTCATCGTTATCAATGTTGATTGGCTTGCTGAACTTAGTCTCAGCGAGCTCGATCATATCCTCAAGAGCTTGACGGTATGCCTTAAACAGTATGTAATTATGGAAAAGCATGGAAGAAAAACCTGGATGATAATGGTAGGGTGAATCTTCTGCTCCAAGAAGGGTTGAGCTTGAGACATAACTTCTCCAGCAAGAATGATGACAGAGGTAGTTCCATCTCCAGTTTCTTCATCCTTCAAAGGAAAATGATCATAGCAGAGTCAAATACAGAAAATTCCAAACCTGAGTACGAGCGATTTCAATCATACTCTTAGCAGCTGGATGCTTGACGGTGATTTCTCTGAAATAGTAACGTGAATGCAAAACTATTCGAAGTATCTTCAAGAGAGTAAGATCTCCAACATACCTGAGAATGGCATTACCATCGTTGGTCATTACAATACCTCCCATGGGGTCCATAAGCATTTTGAGCATAGCTCTTGGGCCCAAGCTAGTACGGATGACATCAGCAATAGTCTTAATAGTTATGTTTAGAATAGCAGCGACAATAAATGAAAACCTTGCAAGCGGTGATGTTTCCAATTTGAACTTGATGTCCACTTTCCCTTTTCGTTCCTTGGCTAAGAACGATGATAGGCTGTTGACCTCCTCCGCGCATCATGTTTACAACCTTTATATTAAATTATATTATATTGTTAACTATAACAAGAGAATATGAAAGAGGGAAATATAAATATATACTCGAATAGCATTAAGACTCGCTTAAGGATGCAGTACTACAAGGAGTAAAGGATGGAAGTCTCGAAAATTATGAAAAATCCGTGCGGGACCCAAAATTTTTTTTCCGGTGTCAGTCTTGTTTCTATTGATACGGAATCATGTAAATTTACGTGAAAAATAATACGTGAAGCTCATTTTATTTTTAGCGTTTTTTTTCGTGATGATCGGTCGGGTTCAATCGATCTTGAGCTTTTCATAGCGTAATCAATGAAAACATGAAATTTCACATTCAATACGTAAGATATTTACAGAATTTTGTAAACATAGTTACATTGGTTGATGTATCGATCTTCAAGCTCTCACTATGGTTAATTAAGCTCATTTACAAAGTTTCATTAGTTAGTTGTAGATGATAGTATGAATGACAACTGGATGCATCGTGATGTGTCTTCACTACACTGCTACGATCGAAATGTAAGATTGCTCTCTCCCTTACATCTTGCTTAATTTATTTATAGAGATATGAGCCTCATAGATTCGAACATCATTCTATGCAAGGACCATCTACCATGATGAGAGATAATGTTGGACCATATCATAGTATGTTGAAATCTGGAGAGAAAAAAAAACCGCTATGTTTCTAGCCGAGTCTTGGCGCCGAGGACCGTATGGAACTCCAGATGCGCGCTACCAAGATGCTAATAGTCCTGCACGTCATCATCCCTATGATTACTACCCTGCCGATCCTCGTTATCATCAGGATTATAATCAATCTTCCTTTGTTCCGGTAACTACCTGGAACTCGTATTTCTATATCTTTTGTTTGTTATAGCGCGAACTTCCACCAAATGGAAACCAATTTCATTCTCATAGACCACCTCACAATTATGCTCTTAATCGTCCTCAAGAACCTAATCAATTTCAACGGCGTTTCAAAGATGAGGATCGATTCGGCAGAAATCGGAAATTTGATACCCGCAGGTTCGATGGCTGAAGTTCTGATTGACATTTTTATACTCATAGGAATTTCAAAAACAGGAAAAATAAACAGCTCAAAAAAGACGATAAGGATCATGCAACTAGCTCGAGCACAGATGTATAAGTTTTGTTTATTTACCTCATGCAGTTTGTATGTTACAGTTTGAACAAGATGCTGCTAAGATCAACACGTCAAGAGAACAGAGCCAACACCGTGCTGGTGTTTCATCGATGCTTCCGACTTCTAGCGAAACTGTGGCGAATGTCAGTGCGTCGGAAATTAATCTTGACGGATATGCCAATAATAGTTGTGGAGAAGCTTCAACAAATTCAATTGTAATTTTTGTTGGTGATTCTGATATACTTTAAATTGGTTTTAGGGAAACTCGGAAAGAAGGGAAGATACCCAAGAGAAAGTTGGTACAAAACTGAACAACCATTGTGACAAGAAATCAAGCCAAGACTTGAAATCTCAATCCAACGTGCAGTTAGAAACTTCTTTTCAAGAGTAATTCATCTTTTATAATGGCGTAATCTTGTTGTCTTTTTTAGGATGGAGCCAAACGATACCAATGAGTTTAAGGATGATATTAGTCTGCATGGTTCGGACATAAGTGATTTAGATGATGACTGGAGAGAGGTATATTCAAAGTACCTTCTTTCATATGCATATCAATACAGATAATCGATCTAGTGGATGGAAAAATAAAACCAAGTGATATATTAAACTCTCTGAATCGTTCAGGAAACGAAAACAGAGACATGTACAGAACGGTTCGCATTCTAAAATGAAACTTTTTGAAATCCTTAATTCAGTATTAGCCGCTTCATCATTTACTAGTCACGGGACACTAAACTGATCTCATATTTTAATAATTAAATGAAGCTCCGACTATTGTCAGTTGTCAAGTTAGAGTTTTGTCCGTTTTGTTGATAATATGTCGAACTTATAGTGATTTCGAACTATAGTTGGGCAATTCATTTTCTCTTATGTGTGATTTATACTTAATATTAATTTAACAGATACATAATACATTCCATAATGCATTCCTTCAAAAAGGTTTTTCGATCTTCAGCCCAGCTTTACGATTGCGAGTTTGACAAGTTTGAATGTTTGATACATACTTAGGACAAGTTCGAAAATTGTTAATTTTTTTTTTCATTTTTCTAGTTCCCAAATGTTTGAAAAGGTTTATAAAGTTTTCACGTCTTTTTATTTCGTGTTGAGCCATGAGTTCTCATCTCTTTATCTGCCTAGTCCAATGCCTTCGTATGCCTAATACTTATTTCTAGCATGGCTCGTAGTGAGGACGTTTTGGGTGAGAAAGTAGACAGGTTGGTATATAACAAAGTACCATCATAATATATCTCATATAGATGCTTCGCCGACTCTCTACTTAAAATCACTGGTGGAGTTGCCATTGGAATTGTAGCCAGTGTTGCTTTCTTCAAGGTGATTTTTGATTTTGTTATGCTCTTCAACAATTCATGCTTAAGGGACGTTCTTTCCCTATCTGGTTGGGTTCCGGAATCGGTATCGGGGCTGGATGGTCTAACTGCAGACACGATTTAGCCCAGCCAACTCTTCTTCATGGAAAGAAAGTTATAATCGGTCAGGATACCGAGGTTTTCCGTTTACAAGACTATCGAATCTCATTTGTATTTTCAGGGCAAACCCTCCTACAACATCGTTGTTGAGAAGATTTAAATAGTTATGATTGAATTACCGATAGATTTAGTAATATGTAAGATATGTATTACATTGAAATGAAGTTTTCTATTAGTTGTTTGTTTTACAAGCAGTGGCGTAAATACTGACAGACGGGCTGTTGGATCCTTTGGAGCGCTTTTAAAATTGGTCTTGCAGCGAATATTTCAAAAGGATCTTATCACTGCTAGGTTTTCAACTAGTTTGAAATGAAAATTCCAGTTCCTCCAGTAGGTATTTTAAGTGGATAATTTTGAAATTCGGGAAACTTGGGATTTTGGAAATTGAATTTTGATTCGAATAAAAATTTGGTTGAATTCAGGTAATGCCGTTACACCCTAGGGTAGTTAGAGCTGAGGTTGATGATGTTTTATTATCGGGAAGGTTTGGTTAGTATCGAAGAAAGTGAACTTTTGATTTCCTTAGACTTCATCGGCTTGTTTCGGTACAAGCCCAAGTTTTCCATTTAATTGACGCCAAATGGGTAGAATTAACTACTGAACCGATCTTAGTTCATCTCATCCATGACAAACTAGAAGGAGTAGCTAAAATGCTGGCGATTTGGCGCCTAAAGGTGAGATTCTTCCGCATAGGTCCAAATAACTGTTTTTAGCTTGTAATTAATAATGTGCCTGTGTCTTCCAATTTCAATATTCACACACCTTCAAAGAAGTTTTTACAATTTGTCTGTAATAAGTTTGACAAAAACAGTGATATCTATGGTTTCGGCTTTGCTGACTCCAATGAGTTGGATCTAGTAAGTTCCTCTGCCAACAGCATTCGTTCGAGTATAAGTATTACAGTTTAATCAGCAGTTAATACGCATAAAGTCTGCCGCCATGGCATCCCTAACTCCTTCCTTCCATCTGGGTTCTAGTAAGATACTTGTTCAGATTTGCAAGGACTTCTCGTTCAGATTCATTACCTCAAACTCCAACTCGATCCCATCGACGCGTCTTGTTCCCTCGATCGAGCTACGGAGGTAAAATTCCTTCTTTCAGCTTTTTATCAAATTCTTCTTCAGGCTCAACTTCTTCTCCTTCCAGTAATTCCATATCACCCCCATATGGATATGTTGGCTCTCCTATGAGGAACTTGTTTCCTCGATCAGAATCAACGAGTTCCTTCCATATTGATGTGATTGTTTCTCTCTTTCGCATCTCACTATTATATATTTCAGCCTCAAACTCCTTCAAAAGAAGAACCGATCAATTTGTTTAGGCATGCTGTCTTCTCATTTTTCTGTTCATTACATTATTTCAGCGAGAATCTATCGGAGACGAATTCTAGACTGCCTTCCTATCTCGGTTATGACGGGCAAGCGCAAGGGGATGCTTTAGTAGACGTAAGAACACAGTGTAAACTACAAATTAAACTGCCATTTTCAGAAAATTGAAGAGAAGAAGGTATATCCGCGATCTGAGGGTTTCCAGAGTTCTCTTTTTGAGAACCCTTACGTGGAAAACAGTCCACTGTCTTCTCCCAAAACTCAAATGACCTCTTTCCAAAACGTTGAGAAGGTTTGATTGCGAGAACTATTGTAAACCATTCTCATTCAGATGTTTGATTTATTCTCACAGTTCAAAATGAACGATGGAAATGTTGTCCTGGAGGAAGAGATTGGCGTTAGTTTACTCAGAGCCTTGTAACTCTGAAAGTGAAAATTATAGTGCTCAGCAGCTGAAAGAAGATTGAGCGACTTTTCTACTCCGTTCGACATTTCAACTCCTGCTCTTAACGATATGGCTTTCAACATCTTCAACATCGATGACATTCCAACGAATAGTGCTGGTGCGATCGGAACTCCTGTGAAAGGAAAAGGTGGTGTCGCTCAGTTCAGTGTTGAAGTGTCAGATGTAGAAGTAAAGTAGAAACTCGGTAAGTGCTGCGTCGCCGATATTCAACTCAGGCTGTATCTGTAGTATTCTAGCCCAGAAACTCACTGTCTCTCGTTTGCTCCATTGTTGCCATACAGATCCAAAACAATTTTGATTCATCTGTTGTATTTTCGTTCCTGTAAGTGTTTGTTTATTCTGTAACCCAATCCGCAGATATTTTTATTTCGTATTTCTTACCAATTTCTGTGCCTGGTTTTAGAGCACTTTGGGCGATTGGCATCTGTCATTCGCCTGAAGATGCAAAGCTTGATTCGTAGAATATTAATCATCATGTTTGAGTCTTATTTTTGTATGATGATCCTTCCTGTGTGCCATTGTGTTTCATTTGTTCATTACCTATCAATTTGTTGTTTTTGTTGTAGTTGGTTAAAAACTAAGTACTACGATCCTTATCCACAAAGAGAAAGAGAAGAGAGCAGAGCATCGTGTTGGTAACTTCCACAATAACTGATAGCTAAATGTAATGTGCTCAAGAGATGTCTCGAAGATGTGGCACTGTCAAGAGGACATGGTATCACAATCATATATACTGGTAGACAACGCAGAGCCCTGCGTACAGTTAGAGCGTGTTTAAAGGCAGTTATGTCGGCATCGACCCTATCGAGGATAATGTGGTGAAACTACAGAGTACAAGTGCTGACAAGGGCACTGGGAACTGAGAAGTAATATGTTGGTGTTCGACCGCGAAGAAGTAGTGAAACACGTACACAAAGAGAACATTGTAAGGTTGGTACTCTGTCGGTAAATGGACTCCGAAAAAGAAATTTCGGGATATGTTCTTTGTAAACACAATTGAAGTTCCTGGTTTCGTTTCTTAGATCTAAGTGTCGCCATTTAGAATTTTCAATCCTGTACCGTCGATCATACAACAGCAAAATGCCAAAAGATTGTCTGATCTTCGGGAAATGTCGCCTTGAGAAGACATTGCGACGCCTTTGACAGTTTGTCTGTATCTACTAGATGTATATGGGCTTTCGTATTATTCTTAACATTTGTTTCGCTTTAAAGACATCAAGCAAGTTTTACAAATGTTTTTCTATTCCTTTAAGGAATGCGGAATGTGCCCATGGGTATAGCGTTCCAACTAATTAGGAGACACAGACCATGAAGAACAGGCTGAGGAATTAAGGTGCAATAGGCTTAATAATCACAAGACCGAAGGCTGCAGATATTGCTTTCAGTCAATTTAAATTACCAACTTGTCACTGCAATGAAGAACAGCTAGCGAGAGAAAGTTGCCTATCAGCTGTTACTTGATACGGTCATTCGCAATACGTTAAGATCGATTTTGAAATTCGAGGAGATTTTTGAGGACGTAAAACGTAAGCATTAGTTTACAAACATCTCAAGGCAGTCAGTTTTTCATCCACTAAAGTTCATCGGCTATAAGCTCGACGAACACACACACACACACATCCATGAAATAATAAGCTGTTTCCCTCTCACTAAATGCCATATGTGTCGAACATTTCGAATGAATTCGGTAAAGCAATGAACAAACACACAAAGATGTGCAAAATAGAAAACGAAAACTTTACTTTTAAATAAACCAGCCAAAATTATTTTCTGGAGAGACATTTGCAAAATTAAGAAAACACAACCGTTCATCAACAAGTTTTTGATATAAATGAGCGAATTGCATACTAGACGTGAATGCGCGGGAATTTGACGTATTCAAATCATTTGTAAAGCTAACCAAACATTATTATTGAACCATCAAGATGTAATGTTTGAATTCTTAAAACTTTTTTTCTCCTAATTGAATAAGTACAGTATAGTTACATAGATATTTTGGTTCCTGGTATGTTTGGGTTCATACAGTAGATTTGAAGGGGCGTGGCTTTAGATTGAATTGCAAAAACGAACAACGTGAAGCGATTAGAAGTGACCTGTGTGACGTAGAAGAGTAGAAATGAAATTTCTTCGTACAGTTTAAGAAGGCTTTTCTCTTTCTCTCTCTATATTTCTCTCTCTCTCTATGTTTCTCTCCCTCTGTCTTCCACGAATGGAAGAGTGTAATGTTAAAGGACAAATTAATCTAGTTAGTAACTCTCTTTAATTAACGTTAAAAGAAGAAGTTAGACAAGTGATAGAAATGAAAAGAAAGATTATCAAATTAACTGTTCGATGATGATATGTTGTGCGGATGATTTAATATTCGCCGTTTAACCAATTTCGTAGTAATGTGTTTGCATTGCGAATGAGCACATCTGGCCGTTATAAGGATATTCCGATCATGCAATTGTCTTTTCAGCTTTAAGAACCCAAAATGGACTGAATTCCATTCTAAAGGGGGGCATTGAGGAATTCACATGCTACGTCACAAATGAGATATCAACTTCTTGATGTGTAAGACAGTAGTATGTCTATGTGTGTGTGTGTGTACCTTCATGCTAATCTGATTAACGACATCAACTCTCCTTTGATCTCTGTCCCTTCTGACACACTTCAAATGGTAGCAAAGTAACACACAATGAACGTTCAAATCAGATGACACCTGAATTTTGGAGTAAATCATTCGTTATACATACATGTAATGTAAGTAAGAGAGAAGAATAAGAGATAGAGAGAGAGAGAGTCGTTTACAGAGAAAACCACTTTAAACAGGAATGTCGAAATGATCGAAATAACAAAATAATAATGAGAAGCTATGTGATGACTATTCTAAGGAGAGTCACGTGTTCTATTTCCTAATATGTTTTTAAAAATTTGCAGATTTGTGTCATTCATCCTTTGAACTCATTTCTGATTGTGAGAGAGAGAGACAGAGAGTGATAAAGAGAATGCTCTTCTAGTTCTTCTCTGCATTTTTGAAAATTTGAAGAACGTAGATGCTTGCAGAGGAGCACGGCAGATTCCAAACTCTGAGCTTTGTTTCAAGATTCGGCAAATGAACTTGTATTACTTGTTCTTCCGCCTAATCGATGATGTTCTAATGAAAATACCATTCCTGTCCAGAGTGTTCTTTCAATTTTTTGATCGAATATGGATATTAGTTCATGTGGACTATCCTCAGACGTCACATAGTTTCCCCTGTGTCTCTGAATTGTGTCTCATGGTTAGTGATGCTGTTTCTTGATATGTGCATAGGACGCATCTTCTGCATCTCCATTTTCCCCTTCATGATCAGCGTGTTCAATATCATTGACTATTTCTGTTACACAAAAAAGTATTTATAGAAAAATGCCAAAAACTCTTGGTAGTGTTCTTGATCAGCAACGTTACCATTTCAATTAGCCCCATTGTTCTGTGAAGTCTATAGGCAATGATTCATATAACATGCTTTCAACCAATTTACAAGCTCCAAACTGTTCTTGATTGTTTCTCCGAAAGAGAATTACCAAAGATCGCTAACAGTATTTCTCAGAAGATGACATATATACACCCAATGTTTCTCTTTCAATATTAACAAAAAAAAGAAGTTTTTTTTCAACAGGTTTGCAAGAGGAGAACACATTCCAAACTGATTTTGCACTACAAAAATATTTATCAAGTCCTTCTCTTCAATCACACACACACACACACCATCTAAGTTTGCAAGTTTCAGGAAACAATCTCCTCTATCAACCCTCTCATCTCTCATTTCTTCTCTCTCTCTCTCACATCTCTCTCTCTCTCTTCTCATACACTTACAAACCAGAAGCTGAAGCTCATACATGACAACATGCATTCTTTCACTTTCACATCCTAACACGTGGCTGACGGTTGCTCTTTGCAGTCTCTCTTATGCGTGTTTGTCTATTTCAAGCCGTTTTCATCTTATCCGTCAAACTTCTTCTGATTTATCATTAATTTCTTAGTCTTGCCACGTTTACATGTGTCCGTACAAACTCATGACGATGACGTCCTGATAAACAAAACGTAATCTTTCAACCTTTCTAAGAGTCACACGAACTTCTGGAGACATCCGGTTGACCGTGCAGTCAGTCATACACCTACACCTACACACACACACATACACTCATACTTATACATACAATGCTCAGTAGTAAAGAGGAACAGTGAGGAAAGACAGATTTATTGGAAATGAATAGTATACAGAAGAATGTCTTAATCAAATCATCCTTCAGCAAGAAAATAATTGTTTTTGTATTTTCTATCTCTTTTTTATGTTTGATTCCCTTCGATGGTATTAGAAAAATGCTGCTGGTGATGAAAACATTTCGTCAGCAACTTCATTAAAACCTCAAAGACATTTCTGATTGGATTGTACAGAGAGAGAAATTTAGAGAGAGAAGGAGGGATAGAGAGATCTGAAAAAGTTCCTTGTTCGATATGAACATCAAGCGAATAAGAAGAAAAAAAAGGATCTGTGAGAGAAGAGATAAGTTTTAAATTGTCAAATTTGATCTGTTTTTGCATTGAAATCTGTTTCGATCATTCGATTCTTTTCGTTCTTCTTGTTGCTTGTTGGGACTAGGACTGTCATGAATCGGTCAGTCAGACAGTCAACCTGCAACCCAGACAATCAAATCAATTCGTTTAGACAATTAAAGTTTCGTACTCATCGATTCAAATGATTATATAAATCAATTCGACGAATGAAAACGAGCTTCCATCAGTATTCTGACCTGCTGCGTCATCTCCGATCATGTCATGATTGTTCTGCGGCAAACTGTTCTCTACAACATACACAAATTTTTATTTCGGATGGTAATAATATGACGTCACAACAGTCTCTGCAACGTCTGTCTTCAACAAAGACCCTGATGACGACGACGACAAAGATGATAAAAGAGAAAAAAAAGTGAAAGTTATCATATTGTTAATGAATAAACATATTCGTTCCCATTATGCAAACGGGTGATGAGAAGATGCATGAGCTGACTGATGCAGATGGAGAATAAGCTGCACAGGTGGATGGTCTATGGAATGCAGATTGATAGACATTCCTTCAAGTCTAATTGGCTATCACTCTTAACGGATTAATCTTATGAACAAGGAGAATGAACACAGAGAGAGGCTAGTACACA